AAACAAGTTAAAAAAGCAAATAGAAACAAATTAGAAACTGAACACAAGGCAGTTATCTCCAGGCTGCAAATCAAAAATCATTTGTGTCTTTTGATTCAGTAATCTCAGCTGGAGAAATGATAGTGAAATGAAACAAGAAATCAAACAGAGAGAATTCAATCTTTCAATTATTTACACTATCAAGAAAAACAGGTTTGTGCCATATTTACAGTGGTAAGACACAACACATTCTTAGAATAATCAATTATATGAGACTGGCCCACAAAACATTAAGAAAAATATGCAGTGTAATGCTTGCCAAAATATTTTTTTTTTGCATTTTCTCTCATTTTGTATTTATGTGATTTTTTTTGGCAATATAAAAATAGCTGCACATAGAGATGAACTTTAAAATGTAAAAAATACAAATAAAAATATATTTTCTAAAGGAAAATCAGATACATACATCTTTTAAAAATGTTATTAAATTGCATGAAACATTTACAACAGTATAAAGAATATTCACATAAATGTCAATAATATGTAAGACATTCTTTTGTGAATCCAATTTATTAATATTTCTGATATATATGAGAATATCCACTGCATTTTGAGAAATGTTGGTACTTTGTTATCAGTAAATCAAATGTAATAGGTCAGGTTGAAAAAGTCTTCTTATTCCCCAAAGGACAATTTTGTCAATAAGCAGCATAGGGTAACTTCTGCATTTAAATACATTAAAAAATGAGAAATGCCATTAAAATATTTCAGTATTGAATTAGCAAAAACAAAATCCACTTAAAATTTAAGTTGTAAGGGTATATCTGCTATGGCATATAGTATATCCAGCTGATATGAAGCTATTTCAACAAAAATGGAAAAGATTAGGGATTGAAGGTCTTTATATTCTAAAATACTTAGCAGAATCATAACTGGTCAAGTATGTTAATTCCACTAGGAATGAATTGTTTTAACAGCCAGAATCACAGGTGACTGTTCTTAGTCATTATTTTTGAGAATATAAGGTTAAATTGTTGTAGTCCTGACTTTTTAGAGATAGCAAGGTTTTTGTTTGTTTTGGTAAAAAATTTTAAAGTTTATTTTTGGTAATAGTAACTATTAATATAAATTCATTATCAAGAAGTAGAGAAAAACAAGATTTCAAATATCAATATCTGCATGTTCCTATGATCATTTATTAGGAGACATAAAAATATCACCCACCTTAACAAGCATTGCTTATTTCTGGGCAAGATTATATATAATGGTAAAAAAAAAAAAAGAATGAAATATTGTGTTAACTTTTTATGCTACAATAGAAACATTCAAAATAAAACTTTGGAAAATTAAGCATGTTTTCTAAGTGATAAAGATATGATGCCAGTTAATTTTTCCATTAATTTGATCATGCTGATTTGATCATTTCCAAACTAGCAGAGAGGTGTATATATATATATTGTAGACAAAGCATATATAGATTGAACTACTGGGTGAATCGGAGTTCTTACTGTCCCATCAGAACATCATGCACAGGGTTTAAGAACAGATAATTTTTGGTAGAAATTAAAGATATTCTCATGTTTTCTATGAAATCAAATAAGAAAGAAAAACCTTTCATGACTGCTTTTCATAATGAAAATGAAAACTAGAAGAAAAATTTCAGCATATTTATGTGTCAGGTACTCTATGAATGTATGCAGACTTGTCTAATGTTGGTTCTGTCACTCGATCAAATTATATAAGCTAAAAGATGAAAGTTGATAAAGGCATATGGTACATGAAATGAACATTAAATAAGAGGATCCACAATCCAAATAAACACGCATCATCTAAGGGTACGCTGTTTTGTTTTCTTTTACATTAAGAAAGACTGGTCATTGAACCATAATTATAGTAAATCCATAAACTTTAAAGTTAAAATCACACACTAACAGTTTAGGAATGCTATTAAACAGAGAAATGAAATTATCCATAGTAGAACTGCATTTTCCATCAAGAAAAAGAAATACATTAGCACCAACATAAATGGAAAACAACTTAAAAGCTAAAACACATACCAATTTGACATTCTTTAAAGATGCTTATCAGAAATAGAACCTGATCTTGACTTATTTCCAATGTGTCTTTCATGTATTTTTTCTTAATCTTCTATCCAATGAAAAATTAAAAGAAAGAAAACTTAAAGAAAGATATGTATCTGCCAACACATATATCAGCGGACACATTCATGAGTTCATTAGGCAATTACTTGAGGATTTTCTACATTGATAACAAAATGGATGATTTAAAATATTTTAATAACAAAAGCTGACAATTATGCATGGTGGTTAAGACCTAGTAATTCCATGGAACAAAGAGGAGGACCACAGTCCTTTGGTTTTCCCCAAAGAAATAAATATATTGAAAGTTTACAGCTTCCTTTAATCATGGAATAAAAATCAATTTTGTCAAATCAGTTATGGAGCAAAACCTCAATTTACATATAGGATAGAACAGTATTCTAAAGGGCTGTGTTTAAAAAATATATATATTTTTTGTATGTGAAATGTTTATCTTTTGATGTTGAGGTATTCTCTTTTGAAGCTGTGCAAGTTTTAAGTAGTGATCCATCTCGATTCCTCTTTCTGCTAGAGGAGTAGAAAGAAAGATAGACAGGAAGAAATATAGCCACCAGATTTTTCTCAAGACACTACTGTTTGTTTTCCTGAAGAGATTGTAGCTTTACCCGCTTTAGTTCATTTTTCCAAACCATTTAAGACAAATTTTTTCAGACATTGAAAAAACACCATATCCTAGCCAGCTCATACAAGAGATGGGTAGAAAATGCCCTCTTCTGTTCAAAAAAAAGCTAAATTGGTTTCGGAGTGTGGAATGTTACTAGAAATGTTACCAATTTGATTGATAGATTCGTTCAAACATTTTTCAATTCTCCAAAACATAATCAAAACAAAAAGAAGGCATTTTGTGTAACTGAGCATTTGGTTAAATAATTTGAAAGAGATCATAAGGATCTTAGGATCCCTGTCTTACAATCATATCCTAACTGTTGTCACCAGAAGCCAATGGTGAGGTAATTTCCCCTCTGCTGGTGAAAACCTATACATGAAACCAGAAAATTTCCAACAAAATGGCCTGAAATGAGAAATTATATTGTCCAATGGGTTGAAAGAGTGACTGTTCATTGATGATGTTCCTCCTAATGTAACCCTTCCACTAGAACAAGTCATTTCAAAACACGCTAGCAACTCTTTACTGTGCAAAGAAATGCTCAGTCTAATACAGTTAGGTAACTTTTGAGCAAGTAGTTGAAAAAATACTCTTAATGGCAACTATATTTCACAGCTTTCTGAGATCTCAGATTTGGTCTGTGCATAAGACAAACATTTAGAAATATAAAAAAGATAAAAGAAATCTAAATATAGATACAACTTAGATCTCAATAGAACTACAAGAAATAGAAATGAGTTAATACTATCAAATGTGACCAAATCTTGACTTTATCTTAACTGATAATCACTATGTATGTTATATTCATCCTACAAAAAAAGTCAAAAAGTCCTGAAAAATGGCTTAACTTTGATGCTTTACAATGATTGAACTGAAAGTGGAGCTTCTTTTATATTCTACTCAATTATTTAGAACAAGAGAGAAGTTAGCAAAAGCTCATCTGGACCATCGGTATACCAAGTTGCAAGGCTTTGAAGGAAAAAAAAAAAAAACAATTGTTCACAATAAATGTGACAAAGGCTGAAAAAGAAAAGTTTCCTGAATATTCCTGGGACTAAAAGAGAAAAATATTAAAAAGAATGGAAAATATCTGTTTCTAGAAGTTTGTAGAAAATGTCAGCACGGATTGGATCTTGGATGGGAGGGAAGCTCACATCAGCTTCTGTAGGTAATGCAGGGTGAACTCCCCTACATCTTCAGGAAAGGTTGTCTCATCCACCCCTTTCCTGGGATTTGTTATTTCTTCAGCAACCCAAGCTTTGGTGAGATGTACACACATGTTTTGTCTTCAGGAACAGGGACTGCCATTACAAGAACCTCCTACCCCAAAGAAGTGCTGTATGCCTCTGTCATTTTCCAAATGCACCCATTTTAACACTTGCTGGAATTTGGTTTATTTAAAAAATAAAAGTCCACTATTCTGGGTGCCTGCCTTTTTGTAAACCTCTTTTCTACTTGGTCACACGAGAGACAGCGCAGGAGGCTGAACCAATCCTCTCTCCTTGTCTTCACTGCCAAGGGGAGCCCAAGGAAAACTGGTGTCAGCAGCCAGCTCAGCCCCTGGACGTTTTAACCAAGGAGGCCACGTGAGCCCACAATACTGGAAGCTGAAGATCCGTAGTTGGGACCGCAGCGCCCGTAAAATACAAGACCATTTGTGTGTGTGCTCTCCGCCACCTTATCACTTTTTGGCAATAAGCCACGGTGTAACCCCCTTGAGATGACAAAAGAAATAAAAGCTCCGTTGTGATCAAACGACTCATCACGCGGCATGCTAGCATCTGAAGGTGCACAGCAAGCAGGCTTGGCACACGGTCATGCTTTCTTAGTCAGTTTCAGTGGGTGGTGTGGGTATGAACAGCAAAGGTGAGCAGGGCTGTGATGACAAACTCTAAAATCAGTCAGTATGGTATGTTTTCATAGCTTTGAGTTCATATTTGGTCACAACTTCATGTAAACTATCTCATGGCGCTTTTTGCCCATGCAATTAACAAGCCCAAGGTAAGAAAATAGCAAGAACAATCAATTCCTATCACTGGGTCCATATAAATACATATCTTCGCATAAGGTAAAGAGATACTGATCTATATTTTCTGCAGGCTTCTTACTGGTTTCACATCTTGCCCGATTTTAGATGTAAGGGAAAAAGATGGATATGTGTACTACAGCAAACAGGAAGAAGCAGCTACATGTAAACATATCTCAGACTTGTACAATCTGCAATCCAATTTCAACTATAAATATAAAAAGTGGACCATTATATACACAACGTCATGCTCGGAAGGTTAGATTCATCACTGCAGGAAAACAACAAAAAAGAGAAATATAGAGAATTAGTAGTTTAGGATAAAAACTCCCAATTGGCTTTTATTTTAAGAAAACTGGTAGAACCCTGAATAGAAGTTTTTTTTTTTTTTTAAATCAATGAGTCAATTGATATGTCATATACATTACTCCTCTAAAACTCATCAAACATTTTATCCTAGGTTCAACCCACATTTTTATTTTGCTACTGAGAAGTCTGGGGGAAGTGTTTGTCTCAGTAACTATTCTGGGAAAGCAGAAAATTAGAATTTTATCACAGACACACCATAATTAAAATATATGTTCTATATATATGGAATTTAGAAAGATGGTAACGATAACCCTATATGCAAAACAGAAAAAGAGACTCCGATGTATAGAACAGACTTGTGGACTCTGGGAGAAGGCGAGGGTGGGACGTTTCAAGAGAACAGCATCGAAACACGTATATTATCTAGGGTGAAACAGATCACCAGCCCAGGTTGGGTGCATGAGACAAGTGCTCGGGCCTGGTACACTGGGAAGACCCAGAGGGATCGGGTGGAGAGGGAGGTGGGAGGGGGGACTGGGATGGGGAATACATGTAAATCCATGGCTAATTCATTTCAATGTATGACAAAAACCACTGCAATGATATAAAGTAATTAGCCTCCAACTAATAAAAATAAATGAAAAAAAAATATGTGTTCTATGTATGTTCTTATGTAATCACCTCCAAGCATTAAAACACAAGTGCAATGACACTGCTTCTTTCACTGACACTCAACTATAATAGCCTACTGTCCTTGGGTTCTTATCTCCTCTTTCCGGCCCTGCCCTGCTGTGAAGAGTGTGCAGGACCGACCTCTGTTGTCAAGTCTTCAAGCTGTATGACAGGTTCTATTGTGATCTCAAGATCTAGAAAAGTCCAGTTCCTCGTTCTGGGCAGCCATGATTACTACGGTTGCCCTGGAGCTGAAGTTTTAAGTCTGAGAGAACAGAAGAACAAAAGTCTTTGAGGTGTAACTTATAGAGCAGATCTTGGTGACAGGCTTGACCTTCTCTCAAAGAAAAATGAGTGAGAAAAGCAGAATGTCCAGAGAAGGATGATGATAAAGATCTCTCATCTCCCCATCACAATGGTGGCTCATCCTCAGAGTCATCTTTCATTTCACTAATTAAAAATATTTGCTTTTTTCTCTCCAGTAAAAATAGACGCTATATTAAGTATGCTTAAGAGGCTGGGTCCTCTGTGATCCTTAGCAGTGAAGTTCACTTAGTGTTACTCACATCATGCTAAGGTCAGAGAATGTGTACAGGAAATATTATTCTTTTCTCCACGCTCCCACTCATCTCAAATTTCAAACAAATACATTTTTTTGAGAAACCAATGTTTTGTAAATAGTTTCCAGAATTTTAAAGATTCTTTTTTCCCACCAGATTTTAAAACTTAATTTAAAAAATCTGTCACCTTACTTTAGGAAGATTCTATTGCAAGCCTGCACTATCTGAAAAAACAAAATTTCACAAAACATTTAAAGCTGTGAAGGCTACAGGTATTTTTCCTATTAAGTGGTTTTTAATCTCTGGATAAGGACAGATGATAACTTAAATAGCTTGTAAGTATTTTCTGAACCATGAGTTCTGCCTTTTACTCACTGTATAAATTACAATGTGAATTGATACATCATTATTCTCCAAATACAGATAACTGAACTATATCTATATCTAACTATAACTGAACTAGAAAGAAAAGTAATTTAAATAACGATCAAACAGTTTTACATGAAAAAAATTATTATTGAGAGTAGCATGAAAACAATAGGACTTGTTCATTAATCACAGTGCTTTCTACTGTGGTTACAATCTGAATTTTCAGTCAAACATTTATCACTGTGCTCTCGAGACTGTGTGTGCGTGCTCAGTCATATCTGACACTTTGTGACCCCACGGACTGTAGCCTACCAGGCTCCTCTGCCTGGGATTTTCCAGGCAAGAATACTGGAGCAGGTTGCCATTTCCTGATCCAGGAGATCTTCCCAACTCAAGGTTTGAACTTGCATCACTCTAGAGACTACTAAACTTAATATTCAAAAAAGTGGTCCACTAAAACAGGACTAAGTAATCTACCAGCCTTCTTTAATAATATCACTTAAAAACTAATTTGACTTGACCAACAGCATATTTGAGATGGCTAAGTTGACCACAGGAGACATTTTAGAACATTTCACTTTTCTAATTTTTTTTTAACTCAAGTATTGTTGATTTACAATTTGTGCCAACTTCTGCTGTAGAGCAAAGTGACTCACTTTTACCCATGCATGCACTTTAAAAAAATATCCTTTTCCATTATGGCTTATCCCAGGAGATTGGATATAGTTCTTGTGTTACATAGTAGGACCTTGCTTATCCATTCTAAATTTAATAGTTTGCCTCTATCAACCCCGTCTAATTGTTGACTTTCTCTCTTTTTGGTGCGTGCAGGAAGATGTTGGGAGAGGATGATTGCAATGGTTTGCATTTGACTGGGTTGGGGAATGTAGTAAGCAATATTGAAGCTTTATCACTGAGTTATTCTCTTTTTTACCATTTAAAAATTTTACTGAAGTCTAATTGATTTAAATGTGTATATTCTTTATATAAAGAAAGGCTAGATTTAGGAGAGCCTTAATCTTATATAGGGCATAGTATATATTCTGTGGAAAAATAAGTACCTAAAAGGGAAATTTCTGATTTTCTGAGCAACTCACATTAGCTCATGTTACTAGCTTTGGCCATTTTATGAACCAACAAGATGATGGATCCTTTGCTTGTTGCTGTTATTTTTATGCCTCACAAAAGGGACATGGTTTCAAAGTGGCTGAAAATGACATGAACCCCAGTTCTGAGTAGAGTCAGAGGCTGAATAAGGTAGGCCTTTCACATCTCCCTCCATGTAAAGTGTTCGGATGACTGGATTAAAAAATCATGACAGGATCAGATTACAGGGCCAAGGTTAAAGAGCAGATGGTAATTCCAGCTCAGGATGGTATTAAAAATTCTGAAAACAGGGGTTATGAAAGGATAGTGAAAGGACAGTTTTCTCAGGTGAAGAAGACTGATCATCTTCCCAAGAACCAGTTGACCTCTGATGTGACGGAGCCAACGGTCTGACAGGCTGAAAGTGGAGTATGGGAAGCTACTGAATAAATGACGCTACTGGGAGAGAAGGCTTTTCTTTCCCTGGCCAAGGGGGTGTGAAAGTATTAAGCAAGAGAGTGAGTTTCACAGGATCTCCTCACCAATAGAGTTGATGAGATGAGAGGTGAATAAGAGTCCTGTCTCTCCACGTCTCTCTGCCATCCTACAGTTTTGCCTGTGAAGCCTGCCTGTCAAAAACGCCTGAAAAACGATAAACAGGTCCTACAGTATAGCACAGGGAACTATATTCAATATTTTGCAATACACCACAGTGGGAAAGAATATGAAAAAGAATACGTATGTGTATATCTGAATCGATGCTATACAGAAGGAAAGAGCACAATAGTATACACTAAATTAACTATACTTCAATAAATTTTTTTTTAAAAATGCCTGAATAAGCCGCACGTGTTAGAGGAAAAGATTCAGAATGACGAAAGAGCGTGCACACTTCCCTCAGCTCATTTTCACCTCAGTGGAATCCCTTTAACCTTAGGTAGCACACACACAGTGCCTTATGCTGAGGTTTGCACCGATACAGTGTAAAGGTTTCGTATTCTCTGAACAGCACAGCACACCGATCTCTTCCCTCCTTAAAGTTCTGCCACTGCTTTCCACTGTCTACTTCTAGCTCTGTTACACACTAGGTCTGTGCCCTTGGAAGTGTTAACCTTTCTGAATTTCATCTCCTTCATCAGCGTCATTGAGGCTAATAATACCCTGTGGTGTGTGCCCAGCTGTATCACCAAGCTCCTCTGTCCATGGGGTTTCCCAGCAAGAATCCTGGAGTCGGGTGCCATTCCCTCCCCCAGGGGATCTTCCTGACCCCAGGATCGAACCTGCATCTCCTGCCAATATTGGCAGGCGGATTCTTTCCCACTGAGTCACATGGAAAGCCCAGTGATACCCTATAGGATTATGATGAGGATTAAATAAAGTGATGTCACCTATATGAAAGGGCTTATCACACAGCCTTTGTACACAGGTTCTCTATGAGGAATAAGTTCCCCTCTCTACTGAATACACACACAGTGACTATGGGTGGCCAGATGCAGAGTCTAGAGCAAACTGCTATCATAAAGTACATCCACTTAAATATAACCACACTCTCCTAAATAAATCAATTCTTACATTTTCTGCTTTCTCAGCTTTGTGACTAATATTGATTGACAGGGTTCTACCATGTATTTGCATATTTTATCTAAGTAACTGAGTATAAATAGAAAAGGAATCACAATTAAGAACAATTTTAAACAGTATGAGGAAAAGAATTTTGACACAAGCAAACCATTGTCAAGATGCACTGCCCCTTTCCATCCTGAAGAAAAGATTAAATGTGGAGAGGTACAAATTACAGCGTTTGCTCGGTACTATTTTCACTCATCCATTTAGAAATAAATCAGCAGTAAACACCATCAGAAGGTACTCCAGAGATGGAATCTTTTGCTTTTTAATACCCATACACATTTCAGGAATGTCAAATTAAAAAAAAAAAATCTGTTCTAAATGGAAAGGGCTAGGCCAGGTGAAGAGAAAGGGAGAGTGATTCTTTTAGAAATAACTCTGTAATGCCTACCTTTTGCCAACAGCCAGGCATGGGTAATCCATCTGGCCCCTATTTCAAAAAGAAGAATAAAAATTCCTCAGCTTCCACAAAAGTGATCATACTTCATAATTAATAAGCTCAGAGGCTTAAAAATGGATTTATAGCTGTTAGGTGGCTTTAGTCATAGGCATCTTTTATCCACCCCCAATAGACTACCCAACACTAGTTAAAATGAAGAAAATTCAAATGTTTTCCAAAGTGAGTACACATTTTGCAAATAAATAAAATGTAAAAATATTCATCCTTAATGTTGAACAATGATTTGTAAAACTTAGTGGTTTACTTAGTTATATCTTTAGATAATAAATCTGTATTATTTCTCTTAATTTCATTAAGATGCATTTTATAATTATCTTTATTCAATAAATGAAAATAACTTCTCTTCCTGGTCACTATGTTTTACAGCTAAATGCATGATAATGATGAGTAATCAGTGATGAACCATTTCTATCTGAAGTTTATAGCTCTTCACATGGAGTATTTTTCAACTTTTCTAGATTGAAAGCAGAAAAAGTAGAACATTAAATTGATTGGATTAAAAGATAAGTATTGTCTATATCTTTACAGCAAAATGTTATCCAAAGTCTTTGTCAGTTTTTTAATTGAAATTCTTCAGAAGCCAATTAACAAGTCCTGAATAAACAAAAGATTCTTATATGTTGCAAAATTTATTTTCACTTAAGGTATAAGCACTCTTCAGATACAAATGATATAAATAAGAACTGACATACTATGAAGCATGCTTGTGTTTTCTCCCAGCAAAATGATTGTAAAATATTATTTATTGTCAATATCAAGCAAACAAAATAAAAGACTAGGCACATCATATTGAAATCTACTAACTGCAATTACTGACTGAATAAAAATTTCTTCTATTATGCAATCTCTTAAAAGACTTGAGAAGCATAAATTTATCTTAAAAGAATCATGCTTAGTACTTAAGAATAATATAAGAACATGCAGACCAAATATAACCATCAACACAATAATAAAATGTTTCTTTACACCTCAGAAAGTCAGAATATACTTTCTTTTTAATTGCTAAAAAAAAAAAAAGAACACCTTAAAATGACTTTATATTTGGGAAAAAATTGGTAATGCCAGATTGGTACAAGGAGAAGGATCACCCAGTAGAATTTTAGATTTTAGTGTAAGAAGGATTTTGAGTTCATGCCAAATGGAGGTAGGGAAGATCTTTCTACTTTAGGAAAGTGAGTTTCAAAAGGAGAGGCCATTAAATTGAAAAGGTTATGTGACAAAGAAGAGGGTATGGGCTACAGACTATTACCACCTTTAGAAGCTTCAAGAGGTTTGGTTTTCGTCTCTATGGTCTCTTAACAACATTCCCTCGAACTGGTTAAATCTTGACCACAGAAGCTTAACTCCGTAGGTTTGGCCTTATTTACAGCCTGACAGAAATTTAGTGCAAGTGGCAAAAATGCCTTTATTTCTTTTAAAGAAAAAAAGCTAACTTTAAGGGAAAAACCCGAAGTTAAAGCCTAGCTGTATCTTTACTTTTTTTAATGTCCTTTTAATGTCATCTTGAAATAGTTACTGGATAAATGGACATTCCCTGGAACACAGACATGGCGGCCATGTCAGCTGTGAGAACAATGCCAGGAGGTTAGTTTGCAGTCACTGACTGAAACGCGTGCATGCCCTCTTCACCCTGCAGAGTCACTGAAGGAGCGATTCATGCACATGCACGTGGTGTGTTTATCATGGAAAGCTTGCTCTGGAAGTGCCACTTTACACTGAGGGGATGAATACGTAATAAACAAAGGAATGGCATGCAGGGTGGTAGGAAAGAGAAATACTGTACCAATTGGCAAGGGGCATCCAGCCCATCCAGGCCAGGCTGGCCTGGCTCCCCTTTTTCCCCCTTAACGCCACGGAATCCCTGTTTGTAAAGATTAACTCATAACGTTACTGAACAGAAGAAATCACTTGAGCACAAATTCTGCTAAAGAAATAACCACTATAACAAAAGACTGGGAGAGGAGCAACTCTGAAGGGAAAGGTAACAGCCAGCGAAGTTGGACAAAAGAAAACAGGGCTTGATGTGGTCCTACAAGCAGGGCTTGTCTGGGCACCTGGACCTGCTCTGGGGAGCGGGAGGGAAGAGTCCTGGTTCCTCCTCTGATCCTGCGTTCACGCCCTGGATGCACATCAATCCTTTATTGCTGAGAAACCCAAAAAGAGCTGTTGGCCAGAGGCAAGGGGTGGCATACCCCAGGACAACCTGAGGGATCTTAAGAGTCTATGTTAAAAGACCCCAATCAGGAGAGTGGATACATGTATGTGTATGGGTGGGTCCCTTTGCTGTCCACCTCAAAGTATCACAGCATTGGTAATCAGCTCTGCTCCCATAACAAAATCAAATGCTTTTTGTCTTTTGAAAATAGACCAGTCAGAACTACGCTGGTACGGCCCCTCCAGCTTGCTCCTCTCCCAGCTCAGCCTCCAGATGGGACACCCGGAGACGGCTGCACAGGTCAGACATACCAACGGGCACGGTGCATCTAATCCAGGAGCACCCTGTTCTCCTTTCTCCCCTTTAGGCCCCTTTTTGCCTTTCTTTCCCTTTTCCCCCTGTGGATACAAGGGTTTAAATAAAAGACAGTTTTTATTTGGGGTGGGGGGAAGCAATGGTGATTCAAAAGATGGTTTAGCCAATGAAAGTCTGGAAGGGCATTTACCACCATTTTCTGGTTTAGATAAGGCATGACATTATGAAAAAAACAGACTTTCAGCGTGGCGATGGATTCTGGGGAGTGAAATACAAGATTTCATTAAAAAGACTCAACAAGATGAAAGAACTTAAAAGCTGACACATCAGAAAGGAGGATCAGTGATGACTTAGACCCAATGCCAGGGTCCTTGTGAATGAGGTGTTCCCGCCACCGCTCCGGTGAAGATGGCAGGTATCAACCGTACTGAAGTCAGCCAGTGGCAGGGGAAGTTGAGAGGAAGAATGGAGACTTTCACGGCCAATTTTCAGTACCTGCCAACTTTTTTTCCCCCTAATCCTATAAGAGATGAGAGCTACATGAGCCAGAGGAAAAGGGAAAAATATTAACAGCTTGTATCTTTTTGAAATGTATCCAACTTTCTGACATCATTTTTTGTAGTTCTCATTTAAACATAGTGTGTTAAAAAGATACTTCTCTTTCTTTTAAGATTCTTTTTAAGGAAACTAAAAACAAATACTTCCCTTATTGAGTCAGGTAAATAAATTTTAAAAGTGCTAAGATTTCTTAGCAATGTCAGTTGGAGAAACTTATTTATAAACCAAGAGATGTTTTTTAATTCACGCTTATTGATGTCATGCCAGGTATTCACAATGGTAAATGGGTTTCCAGCTTACTCACAAGGTAACAAAAGCAAAGAAAAAAAGTTTTGTTCTAGAGGGGAAAAGCGGTTTGGATTCAGTTGAGCTAACACTAAAAATGAGGTAGGCAGGATAATTACATAGTGGGAATTTAGCCATGGGAATTAGTATTTAGGAATCAAGGTAAAGGTTGTGGAAGTCTGCATGGATCATAGGGATGGAGGAATTAAGGAAAGGAGGCAAAAGGAGGAGAAGGAAGGAATGTACCTCAGCTGTTTCACATTAACATAAATATCTCTGCATATTTATAGACAAGAAGCTGGTGCAGTGCAGAATACAAAATACTATGCAATACATATTTAAATGAGTGCATTCATTCTGCAATCAGGATGACAGATACAATAAATCTGAATAATTTCAGAAGCAAAACAGCATCAATATTCAAACACATAAACATAACAGATATAGATGAGATATGCATTCAAATTAATGCATTCATTCTGACTGTGTGAGTGAAACTCCACATTGATCTCCTGTGTGCCAAAAAGATTGCATCAGAAGGCTCAGAATCAAAACCAGTTGGGTTTCTCTAAAATCGGGAAAAGAGAAATTCTATGTGGTTTAGTTGATCACGATCAAAAACAAAGACTTGAGATGCCAAGGTGAAATGAAATGAAAGCAGGTGTGAAAGGAAGTACAATGGGAGGAGCTTTGGGAGTAAACTGCCCATTCATGCAAGATGAATCAACACACTTCTTCAGCAAATAACATCAGTTCTGTGACATACAATTGATTTAGACTTATTTGGGAGGCAGTGGACTCCTCTTCACATAGGTGTGACTGACACCACCTGTGCTGGGTGTTATTAATTTAGGACTCCACTCCTTCTTTGATTGGTTAATCAACTCAGATTAATCATTCAGTGAAAAAGCATTGTCATATGAATGCTGACTTTAACAGGCTCAGGGGATCGTTCTTCAACAATATTTTAGTGAACCTCAAGCTTTATGGAAAACAGATACTATTGTAGAGAATAATGTGTCAGTGTTATTATTAATCAGCATAGTTTTGCAACTATGTCTTTGTGGGTATGAATATATAAGGGCTCTTGCTAATTTTTATGTCCCATGTCAAACAATGATATACATAAAGTGCTCACATTTGGATCTAATTTCCTAAGTATAAAACTTCTAATAATGCAACCTGAAGTACAGAAATACTTTTGTATTGAGTGATTAACATTATTCTGAGGATTAAATTTGTAGCTTTAGGTTTTCACAAGTTATAATACTGGTAATCTCTTCTTTGTTTAAAAGATCATTAGAATGAATATCTTCATAATGCTAACATTATTTCGAGTGGATGAAGTTTTAGACTCATAAAATCTGTTGGGTAAGTATAAAATAAATGCCTGTAATCTTGAAGGCACACACACACACACCTTGGGCCCAAAGCTTTTATCTCAAAACATGTGTATTTTATAGTTACAATTTACAGTTCAGAATAAAAGAACTTTTTTATGCCTCAGTTTCCTTGCCTGTGAAATGGGGACAATGATAACACCAGCCTTAGGGGGTTGTTATGAAGATTAAAAGACTCTCATATGTAAAGCTCTAGGAAAAACATAAAAACACATCAATAAATGTGATGATATTGACAATGATGACGGTGATGTTTTATATAACCACTCACATGAGCTTTCCTAGCAGTGGGAAGCTAAGTATTGTTTATATTAGCTAAGTATTGTTTATATTGTGTATATATATATAAGATTTTATATATATATATATTGAAAAAGTGGTTTAAAATAGCCATAATCCAAACTTTTCTTCTAGACATAAAACCATTTTGCCTGGTATTGGCTCCTTATTTATCTTGAGACAGAACCTAAAGACCAATCTCATAAAATACACTAATATCTTCATTTAAAAAGTCTGCAGTGTTTGAAGGTAACAAGTCCTGGTCTCTGTGTAAGGGTCTCAGAAACAATGCTTGTCTTCCATTTTCCAATTAAAAAAATCCAGATAAAGGACATATCCTGTCTCTACTGGGAATGTTGTGGAGATAAATGAGGTGCTGGCTTTATATGCTTAGGTGAGCTCTGCCAGAAGACTGTTGCAGATTTGTGCTATTTAATATTATTGATGTAATAGATGCCTGCCCCTCTCATTTTTTACACCTCCTGGAAACTTCAGTTTTTCAACTAATTGGTGTCAGGTAGTCCAAAAATTGTAGCCTGGTTTTCTGGGGATTATAATTCTTTTCTTCTACACTGACAGTGCCCTTATTTCTTTCAGTGTAGCCTTCTTTATTCCTCTGTAGAGACCTGGTTCATTAGATCAGACATCAGTGTGTTTTTGGAGCACAGGATGGAGAAAGATGAGATGTATGAAAGAATCACACAGCATGAGCAGCAAAGCAGACAGAAGCAGAAAAATCAAACAGGCACATGCTAGGTGGGAGAGGTCACCTTTTCCCCCTTCTCTCCCAGGTCACCCTTCTCGCCTCGTGGACCAGGGAAACCCTACAGGATAAAAAGCAAACCAAAAAGATCTATTGATGTAACTGTGGCAAAACCATATTGAAAAAAACAAGATTTCATGTTTCCAAACGCAAATATAAAGACACATGGCGTGGCCCCAAATCTCAAAACTTAGATGGGTAAAGTAGTACTTGGAAATAACAGCTTCCTAACATCTCAAGTATCTATAAACAAAGGGTTTCTTGCTGCTTCTCCAAAGAAATGCATAGTGGAGAGAATATTAGGACGCTAGTTTGAATCCTGGCAAGCTCTTGGATTTGTGTGGCTGTGGGCAAATCACTCATCTCAGCATTTTAGTCCTTTGATCATAAAATGAGGTTAATGTTTACTACACAACTGCCAATGTGAGCATTAAACTTGAAGATGTATATAAGGTACCAGAATGATGTCTGTACACAACAGGTGTCTGATACACAATTACTATGATCACTTTTGCTACTGCTATTGTTCACATAATACAGGATGAGCAGCAGACATTTTAAGAGGGATTGACTTTAACATTATTTTTAGAGAATTATGTTACTATAAGACATATAGAGACTTTAATGCTAAAAAGAAAAATACTGTATAAAAGCTTTGAAAATAAACATACCATTTCCCTAAGAGTAGCACATAAAAAAGGTTTCAATTTTATGCATATTTTAAAATAAGTGGTTCAGCCACAGATGTTGAGTGTGTCTAATTTGGGAAAGTATTTTGTATATCAACTGTCAGTTATTAATTTTGTACCAAAATAATTATGGTCTTTGCCTCCATGTCTATCTCATGCAGACATTAGTGGTAGATTTCATATCGCCGTCTACATGCACAGCAATATATGCTGTATGTGTAACTATGTGCATAGAAAAAAACTAGAACTATTCTTGCTGTGATTGATGATGGAGACCATCAGCATCTATTATAATGGGAAGATGTTTATTGTATGTTTTACTTACATCAAGACCAGGCTCTCCATCTTTCCCCTGCCAAAGAACCATAGTAGCTACATTAGTGTTCCTAAGTTTCATGAATAGGTTATTGTTCTATTTAAGGCTGCCTGGACATGCAACACTAGTATTAAAACAACTAATTCAGAAAAGTGAAAAAATCCTGTATTGATTAGTAATGCAAATTTCTTTCACTAAATCAGGTGAAGTGATTGTTAATGTTGCAGTTAAGGGTTATGAACATGTTTTATTATGTATCAGGTTAAACAGTGTGATATTTTGCTGAAGTTTAATTGTTGGTGTCCAAGTTATTTATCTAGGAGTAAGTCAAAAGCAAAAATACTGTTTAGTTGATTTAAAAACACACAAGCACTTGTAGAATATGCAAATCGAAGCTACTTTACTTTGACAGCTTAATAAATCATAAGTGAGCAAAGAATGTGAAAACTGTTAAATACAGCTTTAATTTGTCTAGATGTGCACCTTGTCTATAAATATTGAGGGTGTGAAGCTCACAGTTTAAAAACTGTTTGTAGATGAATGGCCCCCTATCCATTCACCCCTGTGGAGCCAAGTTTCAGCGCAGTGACTAGAGTCACACAGTGGATCCACCCAAGCGTTGCTGAGAAGATGCTTGATTCCATCAATTAGATTTTGAAATCTGTTTCAAAATCGGCATCTCTTTTAGCACTCAAATAATCATGGCTGACGCTTTTATTTCAGTTTATAAAACCTAGAATGTGCAAGTTGTGTGAAAGTGACACAGGGGTTAGAAACCTTGAGATGACAGTAAGTATATGCTTCTGCTGAAGTCCTATCTTACCCCACTGCATCATTCACAATTACCCTAAAAAGGGTATTCTGAAGCAGACCCCAGGCTCTCATTGTGAAGTGGGGGTGATTGAGAATTTTCAGAATATAGATAGAACACTATCAACATTGCTGTTTTGAAGATCATTTGTCATCGCAGTGATTTAGAAAGGTCAGAAACAGCAACATAATTGTAAATATCAATTTAGAAACAACTTTGATTAGCAAGAACACTTTTTGTAAGTTATCTGTGAGAATGGATAAAGTCTAAAGAGGGTTGTTTTAAATAAAGCTTCCTTCCACACCCACTTCTGGTACAATGACCTCCCAAGAGAGGGCCAGTTGTGGATCCAGTCAGATGGCCCCAGATCCTGCTTTCAGCTCAGCCCTGTCCATCTCATGGACAGCCTCTGATCCTCTCAGTCTTGTGAAGCACGTGGATGAGTGTGCCTGAGTGTGAGAATATGGCACAAATATGACCTATCTCTGAAACACACGGTTACACTGGTGTTGAAGGGAATTAGTGGGTTGTACTTCGCTCCTCTAACGGGATTAGCCTGCCCACGAGGGAGAGTTAACTGTGCCAATAACAGATTGTCTACACATGCTGGGGGAAACCACGAGACACAGAACTCACGGGCAGACCGTACGGCCCTCGGGGTCCCGGCTCTCCCATAGCTCCTTTTTCACCCTGGAATAAAAGATGAGAGTTCCAATCATACACAAATGTCTATATTCATACACTTGCTCTAATGCCTTGTCTCCAGAGCCTCTATGTGAAGCATCATTCTATCAAAATTCTAAAAAGACAGGCTCTTCCGGGTCGCTGCCAGTGATACAGCAAAAGAAAGTATTAGTGCATTTTACAGAATCACCTTTGAAAGGGCGGTAGGTCAGACTGACGCCGCTCAGCTGTGCAAAAAGGCTTGGCTGTCCAGTGAGATGTGCTTGGCTTTCTTTGGCATTCATGTGAAATGTTTATTCATTACTAATTATTTTAAGTTACTACTCTTTCAAAAATGTCAGGATAAAATGTTTTTTTTTCCTCCCATCAAATGTCTCGTCTTTAGCAAGCCTTTCCTCCTTGAGGGGAGCCTCCCCTCCATCCTACTTAAATTGAGTTGTATTTTACTTGAGGGTGCTCATATACTGGGAGACATACCCATGTAATAAACTGTCTATTCTCTGCTGAGTCCCTCCTTAGAACATGCACATCAGGGTATCCGGATCCTGGCTTTGTTCCCTACTGCATGCCCACAGCTTACAATAGTGTCTGGCACATCAGTAAATATTTGTAGAATTAATGAATCAAGTCAAATCAATACAGTCGTCCACATTTTGCTTCCTTTATGAAAAAGAGGGTTTAAAAACTTTTATGCCTTCTCCTCAATGCTTGATAATGTAGGAATTTACTGTCTTCATTGCTCTCTCCATGTACCCATTTAAGGAGAATAGTTTGCCTTGGCTTAGACAATAATCTGAATGCTTATAAAAAATAAGTGCAATTGGAGGTGGTCCCAGGAATATGATATAATTGTGATAATAAAGAAATAAATGTTCTGCATTTCAAGTAGTATTTTCTTCTGCTGCCATCTCCAAAGTTTGACTGTCAATGCCTACTATGAAAACTTCAGGAGGAACGGTGATGTTTACATGAGGGCCAAACAGAAAATGTTACCTTCTTTTATCAACACCCTTAAAGGAGGTTTAAATGTGCTAAATCTTTTTCAAGGGTAAAATGACAAGTTCAGCTGATAACTGCGCATACAGGTCCAAGGATTATTCTGTGTTTCTCTACACTCTAGATTCCATGGGGGCAAATTTCAAGTCACTAACAATCTCCTTTAAATTTAGGAGTTGTTGGTGCTAATTAACACGGTCGCTTAGAGGCACACATAGTATCAGGAGATTACTGGGAATAAACACAATAAAATCTTGTTGAACTTTTACTGATTATTACTGAAAGAACAGGAGTTGCATTCAGTGAAGTAGCCAGGCTTTGAAGTGAAACAGATTTAAATGTGGATGCCAGTTCTGGCACTTACTGGTCCTGTGGCCTTGAGTAACTTTCTTAACCTTTCTGTGTCTGTTTCATCGGCTGTAAAATCAGAAGATGTATTCTGCAGTACTTTTTCTAAAGATTAAATGTTATTATAAAATATGAAATTATATTTTGCCAAATACTATGTCCATAAATAGGAACTATCATTGTTATTGGACAGTTAGAGGTCTTGTTTTTAATGAAAAGGGCTTGGCAACCCAAAGAGTACTTATTCAAAATAAGTGCTGCCATCTGGCAGTGTTATTTATGATTTTTTTACAAGGTAGTGGTGCTGGTAGTGACAGTGTGTGTGTGTGTGTGTGTGTGGAGCAGGAGGTGGGGATTTAGAAGGAGAATCCACATAACTTGGAGTCTGTCTAATTTGAAAAAACTCAATGGATTAGAGTAGATCTAGTTTGAAATATCTCCATAGATTATTAAGATATACCTAGTCCCTCCTTCCTCTTCTGATGAAATACCTCAGCTTTATTGTTTTTAAGATTAATACACTGTGACTGATTTGAATTAAGCTGTCATGAAGCGTTTGTCTATAGAAAACTCCTTTTATAGAACTGCTCATCCCAAATAATTACTTTAAGCTAGTAATGACAATTGCATCTCCCTCGCCAGTGACTGTTCCAGAAATGGACACATGACCCAACTCTGGTCAATGAGGTATCAGGGGAAGTCGCTGGGAAGCTTGGGTCGAGGTTTCCTTGATGCTAAGGAGGATAACGGAGAAGAGGGTCCCAATGTTTGTTCTTCGCTGACGCCTCTCCAGAGCGGAGGTTTGCAACCACTGTAAACAGCTTGCCTGTGGGTCAAAAGGCAAAGCCAGCTCATGGAAAGGGCACAGAAGCAAAGACTAGACTTCCTCCTTCGGATATCTTGCTACACAAAACTATCAATTTCTTTACTGTTTAAAGCCATTTTGAGTTGGGATTCTGTCACTTAGAACCAAAAGCATCCTAATGGTCCTAGTTTGAAAACTTTTAGGAATGAAATATTAACACATGGCTTTGAATGTGCCACTTCTTTTCCTGGATTCATTCATTCCAAGAGAATGCTGAACCTCTCAAATTTAACACATTTTACAGAGTTTCTAAGTAGTTACAAGGCCAAGATGAAGAAATCAGCTGAAGCCAGGACCATCAGGTGCTCTGAGGAGCTATACACTGCGGGTCGCGTGTACTCACACTGCGGATCACGTGTACTCACACTGCGGGTCACGTGTACTCACACTGCGGGTCACGTGTACTCACACTGCGGGTCACGTGTACTCATACTGCTAGTCATGTATTTGACAATTCTCAAACAATACTGTCTACCAAACGCCTCGTTTCTTTTAGGCTGGTCTCGTTTCATTCAGGATTTTTAATTTGCCTGTCTACACTGAGGGATTAATCTAGAATAGGCCCCCTTTCTTGATTCCTGCCTCTTTAAAATTTGAAACTTTTTCAAGAGAGTCCAGATGGCACCTCAACCAATTAACTTTGAAAATCACACTCCAGTGCAGCACTTAGGGTGAGGGACACTTGGAGAGTACTGCTATCTGATCCAGTTACGATAGTTAACACGCCGAGTAAATATAAGCATAATACTTTACACTGCACACCATTTGACTTAAACTATGCCTGCACAAATTCTTAGTCATTTCATTTGTTCCCCTGGTGCATTCCACTCCAGCGCTGAGACCTGATACTCTTGTGACACTGCAGAGCTCTCGGAAGTAACAGCTGATTTACCAAACAGTAAACCCTCTTGAGTCCCAGGGCCTTCTGCCAATAGACTACTTGAAATTTGGTGCTCCATTTTTAGTCCACGTGCTGGATCTCTTGATACAATGCTTTAATGCATCAGCAGCGTGAGACTCTTGGCTTTTAAATATTTCTAAGTAAGATGATCTTCATAAGTCATTGGTTTGATCTTAGGAATAAGATAGTGATAATCAGGTTCATATGATTTCTTCCTTTAGGAGTCACTTCTTTCTAGAAGCATTCTTGAGTAATGTCAGCTTTCCTTATCGCTGAATGCACAGTCTGCACTATTTGTATTCATTTTGGCATCATTATCAAGTTATTCCTTGCAGATATTTTTTCCCCTCTACAATTAGATTATAAACTCTTTTAGATCATAGAATATAGCTGATTCTTTTACTGTACTGAGTAAATATATAGTGTATTAATAAAAGGCTATAGGATCATGAATCAATTATAATGGTATTATGCAATTCACTAGAACAATTAGCAAAACAGACTTCACAAATGGGAGGAGAGCATTTCCATTTCACACTAGAGTACACTATGTTTTGTATATTGTAATGTGATAAATATTTACTAAGTGAATTTACTTTATAGGACATGATATTATGGGATTGGAATGTATGCCAAAGAAATCTCTATATGGCTCTCTGCTTTAAAGCAAATTATCCCAGAATGATGAAACTCTCATCTAGTTTTAGAAGACCACAAACATGCACAGTAAATCATCCCTTGAAGACCTCACTATTAGGATACTTTCTTTATATCCACCCTGGATGGTGGGGAAATTGATGACACAGTTCTGCTCAGACACAAAAAAAAACTTCTAAGTTTTTCAAGGTGAGGAAAATAAAAAGAGGGAGAAAAACAGAAAAAAAAAAAGGGAGAGAAGTTCTAGAAAGATAACTAGCTGCTGATGCTTTAGTACATTTCTTTTTTGTGTCAGATATTTATCTTCTACTCTGACTGTCTTTTTCCCCACAAAGATATAGAGAGGTTGTAAAAGGTTTTTGTTTTATAAAGCACTAAAATTATTTCCTTATGTTAAAGAAAAGCTATTCTTTTGCTTAAAATAAAAGAAGCATGTGCAATGTGCAGAGAATACTTAGGTTTTGTAATTTCCTTTTAAAAAGGGCTATAACTTATTCTGAATGAATACAGGAGCTTTATATAAAAGATTATCAACCAGATTATATAGTTCCAGAAATTTTAGCCCTATTGACTTCAACTTTCTGGATAAAGGCCAAATGAAAATATCTTCCGTATGGGTTAAGAAGCAATGGTCTGAGCTGTTTATTTTAGATATGAAAATATATGCATTGTTTTTGCCTTTTTTTTTTTATTAAAGCAGTCATATTCTAGTACTCTGTCATTATCCCCATGTGAGGACTCTGAGTAGAACTTAAGATGGTATCTATTTCCGTTTACTATTAGATGGTCTTTTATTTCTTCTGGGAAATGAACGTGTCAGATCAGCTAAAAAGGAAAAGCCACACTTTGTGTTTTCTTTAGACCACGGCTCTATAACCTCAGGAGTGACTTACTCTTTCTCCTTTGGGACCTGCAGGGCCATGGGGTCCCATAGGGCCATCTGAACCCTAAAAAAAGATAAAATAAGAAGATATGAGACATATCCCAAGGGCTGTAAGAAATGAAGTTATAATTTACCTTGGACTTTTCCTGGGTGAATAAAGCCTTAGAAAGACAACACATCTCCTTTCAAACTGCTTTATTCTTGATTCTTTCAGGCCAGTAGTTTTCAAGAAACTCATGCAAAAGGAATGATTTATATAACTGCATATTTCAATGAAAGGCACACACACAGGACTGTGCATCAACTTTAATTATCTATTTCCTCCCTGGCTAAATGGAACATCTTCACTTTGCCCCTAAAACCATCTGAAGAAAAATGTAATTGTTCCTGCTTCACATCACCTCTTCTTCACATCCATTCTCTGGCCCCACTCCTCTTGGCCACAAATGCTCTGAAGTCTTGTTTTCAGCTGCTTAAGAGGCTCGAACAGTTATACAAGTAAAAAAAAAAATGAAATAAATGAGAACAGTGTTTTAACTGTTCAAACTTTCTTCAGCTCTGTTGCAAGGAGCAGGGGGCTTAGAAGGAAGGAATTCCTCTCATGGGTTCTGCTGCAGTGGCTCAGGTCTGTGGGCTTGCAAGGCACAAAGCAGGCAGCCAGGTGATGTAATGGCATAACTGCCCTCTGGCCTTTTGATTCAGGATTAGGATTTTTGTGGCCGACTAGGTGATATTTGAATGAACAAAAGAACACAGAGGGTCCAGTGAAAATAATAACTTCCTGAAACAGGTTTTTAGAATTGAAGAGCTTGGGAGTTCCCTGGTGGTCCAGTGGTTAGGACTTCGCTATTCCATTGCAGGGGGCATTGGTTCGAGCCCTAGTCAGGAAATCTCAATGATCCTGCAGCTGTGTGGTGTGGCAAAAATATAAAATAAAATAAAAAATAAGTAAATAAAATGAGGAGTTTGGAATTCCTTTTGAGGCTTAAAAATGTAGTAAGGGGCTTCCCTGTTGGCTCAGTGGTAAAGATTTCACCTGCCAATGCAGAAGACATGGGTTCAATCCCTGGGTTGGGAAGACCCCACATGCCGCGGAGCAGCTAAGCCCTTGCATCACAACTATTGAGTCTGCGCTCCAGAGGCCAGGGGCCTTAACTACTGAGCCGATGTGCCGCAACTACTGAAGCCCAGGCACCCTGGAGCCCGTGCTCAGGGGCAAGACAAGCCTCTGCAATCAGAAGACAGAGCTCCGCAACCAGAGAGCAGCCCCAACTCTCTGCCACTAGAGAAAAGCCTGGGCAGCAGCAAAGACCCAGCACAGCCAAAAATAAAAATAAAATAAATAAAATTATTTAAAAATATCTCGCAAGGACCTCAGATGTATTTGTTCATTTTCAGGAAGACTATATGCTTAGATTTGCAATGAATTTGTTATGGCATTTACAAACATAGGAACTATTCCAGCACAATTTTTAAAACAGTATTCTTATTTCTCTTTTACTCTTCTTGTTTATAATATTAGAGACTTGTGACATGAAATAATTCAGGGTTTTAAACTCATTCTAGTGTTGCTGGATTATCATCAAGTTTGATCTCTTTCTTCCTGCCTGAACTCCAAGCTCATCTTCAGAAAACTTCTAAATATTGAAGACCTGAAGCTGAACTTTAAGAGAGGGAGCTCTGAAGAACCATAGAAAAGAGACAAAATGACAGAAGACAGATGAATCATTTCCATGAACAGAGATCTGAAAGTTAGTTCCAAGGAAGAAGTTACATTTCTAATACAGACATGAACATAAAAGAGGAAAGCAAGTTAAAATGATTTCACGTGATTTTGATCCCTTCTAAGGACCTCTCACATGGAATTGCAGGATGTGTTCATTGGTTATGAAAAAATCTGTCTGGGATTGTAAGACAATGAAGTCAATCAGACTGATCATTCTTCCCGTGTTGCAAGTTATCCGGACCTGAAGCCAGGCATCAGAAGATGTTCTGGAGTGTAGGCTGTGTCTCCTATGCCCTCTCTGCTTCTCCCTTTCTTTGCCACTCTCTTTGTCCACCTTCTCCTTCCGCTCCAGCCCCGTGGACTCCTCATCATGTGATGGGAGTCTGTCCTAAAGCGTAACATTCACAGCCACAAAGCATGTTGGAGCAAGTTGAGGTGTTGACTCACCCGGGCTCCTGGCTTTCCGTCTAAGCCAGATGCTCCCTGTGTGTAGCAGGGTTGGTGGGTGTGACACAAATGACAAGAACAGAGATTAGTATGAGGTACTGATGAACAAATGTAACACTTCAAACAACATAATAGGCAGTCACAGGGTTCTGAGATGAAAATCACATTGCTACAAATTGTTAGTGAAAAAAAAAACAACACGTGACAATAAACACCCCACCGATGATGACATTTTAATGACATTTCCATTCAGCAAATTCTTATTTGGAAATCAAGTGAATGAGGTTTATAAAGTGGGCTTTGACATAGTTACCAGTAACAGTCCAGGTAGCTAATTTCCATATGAAATTAAATTTTCTAAAGACTGTGTTATTCACAATATATTTCTTTAGGTTCTGGAAAAAAGATAATGGCCAGTCTCTTAGGTAAGGGCTCATTATAATAATCAAGTTAGAATTTCAGAGAAGAAAAGAGCTCTAGTTTTACTTGTTAAAATAGCATTTATGAAAAACAAATGCAGAATTTTAACATGTCAGAGTGACTCTGGATTTTACACAAACAGTAATTGTTTCTGCATTGTTCTTACTGTGTTTACATTAGTCACCACTAGAGGGACTTCTAGGAATGGGAAAAGGCAGAAAAATTTCTTAAGTCCAGACAAAATAACTGCCTCAAACATTGTTCCTCAGCTCACTACAAATAATCAAGCATCAGAGTCTGAGTGGGAAATGCTTTAAAAATCTAATGCTGTGTTCAGGCAATGCATGCTTTTCTTTCCTTCATCTCTAGACTATGTATAACGTATGACCAAAAGATGACATTTCCAATGCTTGTTTCAAGAGTAAGCACAATTACTTTTTAAATATGGCTTTTGTATCTCAAAACTCAAATGTTTATTTATAGGCTTTGAAAATGTTGGTTTGATCAAGGAGTATTTAAGAAAGACAATGCACTAGTTCTATAAATTCTCTTGGCAAGGTTGCAGAACTGTTTCCCCATTTTATGCTTCAGATGTAGTTAATAATACAAAATGGAAGGGAAAAAATCTATTCCAGCTGCAAACTCTACCAATGATGCTACATCATACATTTGAGGGGTACTTTTAGTTTTTTATTTTACAATTCCTTCTGTGCAATCCTATTGTGAGTCAGATTATAACTGCAAAATTTAATTTAGCTAGAAATGATTAAAATTTTTAAAAATGTGTGTGTTATTGTTTGTTTAGAGCTAGAAGATGTAGAGCTTTGGCTAAATGTTGCATAAAAATGGTCCACCATCCTAGATTTGAAATTAGGGCAAACTTCAAAGAAATCAGATTGAGGGTTTAGGTAAAATAGAAATGCAAAGTTTCACTTTGCCTTTTTGATACTTTCTTCAGAGCCACCACTATTATAGCATTTAAAAATAAATAGGGGGATGATAAATAACATTATATTAATTATATATATATATTATATATTATATTAATATTTACCTGGAATGGGAATTCCTGACTCACAGTTGTTATAGAGGTTTTGGATTTCACACTTGTGGCATGATTTAATTGGTGTGATTTAGCCTATATTCTAATGTAAGACTTACATCATTCATTCAATTAATGAATGCATATTAAGCATCTACTATATGCCCGAAATTATGTAAGGCATTGACTATCAAGAGGAATACTTTAGTACTTAGAATACAGTACCTGTGGAAAAAGTAAAATAAGTAGTCACCAATTTTTTCTGCATAAAATATGTATATGAAATATTTTCTATTACCATTTTTATGTCATATTTTAATAATGTAATCTATAATGTCCTCTACTGACTCTATCTGCATTCACTGAATAGGATGAATATTAAAAAGCCTGAAACTAAAGCTCACATTTAGGAATTCCCTGGCAGTTCAATTATTAGGACTCTGCGTGTCCACTGCAGGGGGGACAGTTCAATCCCCAGTCAGGGAGCTAAGATCCTATATGCCACACAGTGTGGCCCCAAACAAAAAACCCTCATATTTAATGATCATTTAACAATATCTTTTTAGTCACTGCAGAAAGAAGGCTAGCATAAAGTGCATGAAAGATGCAATCTTTCCATTCAAAATAAAAATCTCTAAATGACTGCAAAATACTTCTTCCATACTATTCATAATTGCCACAAGAACCTCATAAGAGGGCATTTCCAACACAAACGACACACAACATTTAGACCACGAGATGACTGATTAACGTAAGGAGCCACAGCACTGAACTCACGCCTTCAACAATGGCCGATTGCATACCTGCCACCGACAAGGGGTTGTGCTTTCTAGTATCGAAGAAGAAAAAATAAAAATTGAGGGAGGATCTTACACTACACTAAACTCTAAAGGCATTTGGGAAGAATTATGAAACAATCCATATAATATTTTTTTTTAAGGGGAGGGTGACGGGGGAAGAATTGTCAGCTGTAAAAGAGGAAGGCTGGCACGTATGTAATTGAACACTGATGGTGTTGTTTGTTATGGGGTCTTCCTCTGACATATGAGCAGACATCAGAGGAAATAAGACTGGGCTGAGCTCTGCTTGAACACAATATGTTTTCTAATTAGAGAAATCTCAACTGTGTGATAGTCACCGAGTAAACCAGAGTTGTAACTTAGGGTAGAAAGAATAGTCTGAGATTTGCACTGAAATGGAAAGTTTTCTTTACTTACTGGAAGACCAAGGGGTCCTCTGTCACCCTTTTGACCTGCTTCACCCTTCAATCCTTTAACACCATTTAACCCTGGTTCACCCTAAATGCAAAAGCAAATGCCAATTTTGGTTGCTATCATGGGTGTTTCAACTGTGAGAGAAGACAGCCAGTCTCTGACATGGTTGCAGATTCCAGTTTTAGGTAACAGCAGAGTCAGGCTAGATTTGTCTTGCACCAGTTCAAAACAAATTTTAAAAATGCAAAAAGTTGACAAGCTGGAATTAAATAACTTTCTAGGAAGCAAAGCTCCTTAGAAAATGTGCTCCTTATGACCAAAAAAGTATATGGCTGAGCTCCAGTATTTTCGGTTTCAGTTCAAGGAAATTGGTGTTACGCTGCATTGTTCTGACCAAGCAAATCAAAACAGTCAGGGTGGAGGATGTGCAAGGATATTCAGGAGGAAAGAGCCACTCTGCTGGAATAGAAAACTGGAATATGCAGGACAGTGTTATAAACGAAGATTTTAAGCCTTTAAGCATTTTGTCCAGGGGAATGTGTTTGAAGTAATGCCATTTGGTGACTCCTCATTCATGGACATTGCCAAGTCAGGCCCCTGTGAGGATTAATCGATAGGATAGACAGCAAAGAGCCAACCCTGGAAGAGAATGTGAAGATCACAGAACTTTATTGGTTTTACTAGCCATGCACCTGCCCAATGTTAGAATAAAGGAGGTTTGAAGTTAACTTAATGTGACGTTATAAAAGTCATGAAAAGTGATAAATTCTCAACTCTTGTTTTCAAAAATCTAAAAATGCAATACACTATTTTCTATCAGCAGGAGCATGTTAGAAATAGAACGGTGACTTGTCCACTTTTCACCTTTTAAGTATAGATACTAATTTCATCAATAAGATCTTGAAAGATTTGAGGAAGAAAGACAGTTTCATTTTCAAATGCCTTACGCAATCTTGAGTGGTGGGGTTGGGAGAGGGGAGAGATTATGCCTGCATGGCAGGAAGGATTATTAACCTGGGCAGTATTTCTCCCCTATTTGCCTGAAGATGAAAGTCAGTGCAGTGTTTGGTAAAGAGGCCAGGGCCTCACCTAGGCCACAGCAACACAGGAACGATATTGTTAATATCCCCCAGGTGATTCTCCTCATCAGGAAATTCTAGGGAACAGTGAGCCAGACTCATCCATGGAAGCGTGCTCTATATTTGAACTTTCAAAGGGGTCACAAAATAATATACACACTGGCATGATCTAGTGGATCTAGGCAGTTCTGAGACAGGAAGTCTGCAATACTGCCACTATAGGAAATCCAAACGTGCTATGGTCAGTGAAGTATGATCCTGTGACTGTCACACAGCTAGAGGCAATGTGAGATTAAAGCCAAGGCTCAGCAATCAACTTCCGTTAACTGATTTAAACTCTAGATTCATGGCTTTGCATGTGTGTGGACTTTGATTTAGCAAGTGATCTTGAGATGCCAAGGGCAGCCTTCGTAAGCTATGAATTTCTTTGGTGAGGAATCACTCATTGATAGCAGTGAGCATTAATTGAGAAGTTAGCATATTGTTCAGTCGCTCAGTCATGTTTGACTCTATGTGACCCCATGGACTGCAGCATGCCAGGCTTCCCTGTCCTTCACCATCCCCAGAGTTTGCTCAGATTCATGTTGGTTGAGTTGGTGATGCCATCCAACCATCTCGTCCTCTGTCAACCCTTTCTCCCCTTGCCCTCAATCTTTCCCAGCATCAGGGTCTTTCCCAGTGGGTCAACTCTTTGCATCACATGGCCAAACTATTGGAGCTTCAGCTTCAGCATCAGTCCTTTCAATGAATATTCAGGGCTGATTTCCTTTTGGATTGACTGGTTTGATCTTCTTGCAGTCCAAGGGACTCTCAAGAGTCTTCTCCGGCACCACAATTTGAAAGCATAAATTCTTTGGTGTTCAGTCTTTTTTATGGTCTAACCCTCACATCCGTACATGATTACTGGGAAAACCATATCTTTGACCATTTGGACTTTTGTCAGCAAAGTGATGTCTCTCCTTTTTAATGTACTGTCTACGTTTGTCATAGCTTTCCTTCCAAGGAGCAAAAGTCTTTGAATGTTATGGCTGTAGTCACTGTCTGCAGTGATTTTGGAGCCCAAGAAAATACAATCTGTCACTGCTTCCACTTTTTCCACTTCTATTTGCCATGAAGTGATGAGACTGGATGTCATGATTTTAGTTTTCTGAATGTTGAGTTTCAAGCCAGCTTTTTCACTCTTCTATTTCACCCTCATCAAGAGGCTCTTTAGTTCCTCTTCACTTTCTGCCATTAGAATTGTATCATCTGCATATCTGAGGTTCTTGATATTTCTCCTGGCAATCTTGATTCCAGCTTGTGATTTATCTAACCTGGCATTTTGCATAATATACTCTGCATGTAAGTTAAGTAACATACAGGCTTGTCATACTCCTTTCCCAATTTGGGGGCAAAAATTTCAAATTTCAACTCTGAACCTAAATTATGGTCCCAGATCTTTCATTTACTTACTGTAATTTAGGGAAAATAACCTAAATCTCCTGAGCCTATAGTTTAATATTTACAAAATCAAGGGGTTAGCACAGGTAATCTATGTGGGGCTTTCAACTTTTTATTTCTCTGAAATCTATGATTTAAGTAACATTGAAGTTAAGTGTAAGCAAAGTAAATCACTGCATTGTAAATATAAAAAGGATCTTGGGCATCTATTAATTTAATGGTGATGGGGTAACTGAATCACTCATAGAATTAAAAATGATCTTGGTGGCTTTGGCCTGAGTCATTACAATTAATCTGGCCCTTAGCAGTACCTTAAAATCCAAAGAGAAGCCAAGAGAAGGAAATCGTATTTAGTCCAGTGTGGGGAGAGAGGTCCAAGGAAGTTAGATAATATTAAGACCACAAAGCTGATAGATAAGCTCTCTCTTTTGACCCCTACAACAGCGCCCTTATCTTAAACTATAATTCATGCCACTGAGACACTGTCACTCATTGGCCTTACCAGAAGGGAAAGTATTCTAAGAAGAATAAAGAGGCGTGAACTTTTCCCTTTCTTGGCTGAGTCACCTGCTTCACCTCGAAAAGGGAACTCAGGTTTCTGGAGTCAGACCAATCGCTGTACCGCCCCCAAAGCTGGGTGGGCCAGAGGGAGTTCTCAGAAGAGAGAGTGGGCTGCCTATGGGCTTTTCGACTCTTAGTACCAATGTTGCATTTATGTGTTCCCCCAACCCATCTCCACTAAATGCATTAACACTACTGAGGAGCTGTCAAGAGTTGTGAATCTTCTCTCAAGCAGCCTTGCATGCCTGCATGTATGCTAAATTGCTTCAGTCATGTCCAACTCTTTGTGGCCCTAATGCACTATAGCCCGCCAGGCTCCTCTGTCCACAGGATTCTTCAGGCAAGAATACTGGAGTGGGTTGCCATTCTCTTCTCCAGGGGATCTTCCCGACCCAGGGATTGAACCCAGGTCTCCTGCATTGCAGGTGGATTCTGTACTGTCTGAGCCACCAGCAAAGCCCCCAAGCAGCCTTGAGGACTAGCTAAATTTTTCTGTTCAGAACAAAGCATCAAAACAGAAGATTGCCAGAACAGCTGACATTTAGTGGGTGTTTATCAACAGCTGCACCAGACCTTCTGCTAAGTGTTCTATAATCTTACCTCATCCAATCATCACAACACTCTGAGGCAAGTTAACTCCTCGAGTAAAGGAAGGATTAGAGAGGGGAAATAATCTGCCCAAGGGACACATGCCCTGTCAGTGACAAAGCTGAGATTAGGACATGGGTCCTTATCACAGACACTCACAGGAAGGAGTCTGTCTCATATTAATCCTCCAAGGTGTCTTCTTGGTCGACACAAAGGCAAAGAACACGTCTTCATCCATCTTCACAATTTGAACTGCACTAATTCTGACAAGGAAGGGCTATCCTCCATTGTCCTCTTGTTAGTTCAAATGTGGAATACATGTATGTGATGTAATCTTCTTCTCAGTATAGCACACTTGATATGCCCTACCTCATTCTACACTAGTGACCTACAGGGAAATACAAAAGTAAGATGCTGGACAATCAAAGCATTTAGATGCAGTACTGCTATATGAAAAACAAGACGTATCAACCAATAACATCTGAATATATAACTAGAGACATTATACTAGGAGAGAGCGTCTGGACTAGTCTCAGAAACTCATCAGATTCACTTTTTTTTTTCTTTTGGAATGTTGATTTTGAGTATAATATTGTGATTAGTAACTTAAGAAATTGACATAGTGACAAGGAAAAAGGCAAAATGAGGACTAATTAATCTCCAGGTGATATCACTTAAATTTGTGGTAAGTCTTTCCTTGTGAAATTTAAACATCTGTATACTTAAAGGCTTAAAGATTATCAACATTACTTGACAAATAAATAAGACAGGACAGGCATGCATCCGTCATGCTTCTCCGTGATTAACAATGAAATAGAAATCAAACAAACAAGGGATCTGTTGGATTACCTTTGGTCCAGGAAGTCCATGGGGTCCCTGAAAATGGAAAACACAGCTTTTTAATTAAGAATTGAATCACTGTTTCTCAGCAGAAGTGACTATTATATGTAGTAACAAAAGAGATGTAAAACAAGAATCTTGTTTGATCTACAGCTAGAGGCAGGCCAGTGGGTATTAACACTCAGTGAAAGTTCCTCCCAGCTCTTGGATGGCTCTGTAATAGGAAATTCATTAATAGCAATTCTTTCTGCTGAGCATCTCTGACAGGGAGAGGGGAATCTGCCAGGGTTACAAGGGAGGGAAAAAAAAAAAAAACAACACAGAAAAAAGTGTTTGTGAACCCATACTACTTATATTTCTCAAATTCCCATTAAAAAAAAATCTAGGTGGACTATGTGAGCTACATTATGAATTTATATGAAGTAGAGGTCAACCTTAAAAGACAGAAATTTGCTAAAAATACGTTTGGAACTCTAAGTACCAGTAGAGGAGATCTTTTCAGTTATTAACTCGTCTAACCCCAAGGTTTTGAAAAATCTAGAGGAGGAAGAAAGTGAGGAGATGACAGTCAAGTTTGGAACCCTGTTGGATCATTTCTTTAATTTAAGGCTAAGAAAAGGATTCCAGGAGAGGAGTGCTAAACATTATTATTTAGAATGCATTTATTTTTACAGAGATGAATTTTTCAAGGCTCAAATGTAATAACTGTTTACCAATGGAAGTCATAACATATCCATGAGTCAGGGCTTTTCCCATGTATTGTGTGGAAAATCTAAATATAGAGACTAATTAGCTAAGCTGAATTAACTAAATAAAGGTTACTGTGGATTGCATTAAATTTCTAGTCATTTAAATGAACAATTTGGAGATAGGAGTATTTAAATACTTGTCAGCTGAAACAGTTCACCAGCCTAGGTTGGGTGCATGAGACAAGTGCTCGTGCCTGGTGCACTGGGAAGACCCAGAGGGATTGGGTGGAGAGGGAGGTGGGAGGGGGGACCGGGATGGGGAATACATGTAAAAAAAAAAAAAAAAAAGATACACTATGGTTGTGATTAAAAAATAAAATAAATAAATTAATTAAAAAAAAATCACACAAAAGGAAAAAGTTTTGTTTTTTTTTTAATCAAGCAATAGATAGATTTGTTATACATGTCTACTTTGGAATAACATTTTCCCTTTGAATAAGTTGTGGATAAACATTTTCAGGAAGTGGTCATTTTATCAAGTATTTCATTTTAGAAGTGGTTTTAAATTCCTTTAAACTAATTAATTTTGTAATATGAATGGATATAGCATTTTAAATTTAATTTTCTAACAAAGGGGTGGGAGTACAGAAAAGCCAAAAGTATGCCATTTTCTTGATTCTTAAGGAAATGTTTAGTTTTTAAAAAATATGGTTAATTATAACTGTTCTGTGGTATGAAATAGAAACCCAGTAGATGAGTGGGATCTGGTGCTATGCTCTGTGGTTTAGACCATTCCAATGAAGCTCTTTCTTGGAGCACAACTCGAGGCAAGAGCGACTGACACATTGTTTAATCTCTGGGATAGAAGAAATATGGTTTATTGAGACACCTTTGAGACGAATGTGACCTAAGAGGCTGCCTGACTTGCTCCCCAACCTGTCCCAGTCAAAAGCATTTGAAGCACTCTGCCTTCTAGTTCCAGCCTTCATACAGTGGTCATTAGGTAGACATTTGGAGAATTATGCTGGTTTAACGACTACCTTCTTCACCGAACATGAATTCTACGAGGACACAGTCATTTCTCCACTGGTCACTGAAAGATGTCTGCAGTGAACACTGTATTTGCCAAAGTATGTAAAAGGGAAAAGAAAAAGATCCAACAATATATTACCATGTCATGTGTACAAGTGAGCTTCTGTTATCATATTGTTTTATAAACGTTCTTAATGGATGTTTCATTAAAGGGTCACAACCCTCAAAGTTGGTAAGAAACATGGAATTCCCTGGTGGCCCAGTGGTTGGGACTCAGCTCTCACTACTGAGGACCCAGGTTCAGTCCTTGGTCAGGGAACTAAAATCTCGAAAGTCACGCAGGGCTCAGACCCCTCTCTCCCACTGAAGTTTGTTAAAAAACATTCATTAATAGCTACAGTTATTAATCTTCCTGTATTAAAGGCCTAGAACAGTGACTGGTCAAAATGATTTTTCAGTGTTCATACTATGTGAAAGTGAAGTGGTAGTTGGTCCGTCATGTCCAACTCTTTGCGACCCTACAGACTATAGCTGCCAGGATCCTCTGTTCATGTAATTCTCTAGGCAAGAATACTGGAGTGGGTTGCCATTCCCTTCTCCAGGGGATCTCCTGATCCAAGGATCGAATGGGGGTCTCCCACATTGCAGATTCTTTATGGTGTTAGTCACCAGAGGGGTACAGTAAACTTGCCGAACCCGTTTCTTCAAATCGCCTATCACAAAACTACCCTATTGCTTTCCAACATATATGTTTGGGAGAGTGAAAGACAACACTGTAAAATCAGAAAAGCACCTCCTATTTTCTGCCTGGGAAGCACCAGATACAAGTTGGCTGCTTTGAGGGATGAGTTCATGTTTTCTCTGGAGGTATGCTCTTAAACAAATGATTCCATTTTGGAGAGAAGGGAAACTTACCATGGGGCCTGGTGGGCCATGGGGACCTGGTGGGCCTGGTGGGCCTATGACCTGCATGTCAGGAAAATAAACATGGATTTGGTCACTTCATTTAGATAAGGCAGTTAGGCTTGAGTCTCAAGCTAGGGTTCTGCTAAGGCCATTAATGGTTGCAGAGGAGGGATATTGGAAGAAGTAATGTGCTTGATTCTCTACATTTGGAAATTCATTTGTGAGAGAAAAAAAAAACCTAAAAAAAAATACAGTTGTTTTACAAAAGCCAGAATAAATCAAAAGCACATTAAAAGAAAAGGAAGCAACTGATTAGCAAGAAATGCTATAATGCTACAACCACGATCAAACTCTCAGATATTTCACTAAGCAACAACAGGGGCTCTGGAGAAAAAAAACAAGAAAAAACATAGGTTCTACATTCACAGAGCTCGACCCACAAGCATCGTGGGAAAACCATTGATTTTCTCCTCAGGATTAGACAGTCCTCTGAAAAATTGCTTCTAACTCAGACCTCTGAGACACTTTTGTCTCTTCCTGTACAAGGCTGACAGATATTTCTTCTATAGTTTGACAGACCAAGAGGATCATGGTCTTTCTACTGTTGATAAGCCATCTGGCATGGGCTGAAGTTGGTGAATAATTGGCCCATTTCAGGGTTTTTTGGGAACCATGAACGTTGAACCGCCACGGACTTACGGAAGGGCCCTGTGGACCTGGCAATCCTGAGTCTCCGTTTTCTCCTTTCACTCCATTGGCACCCTACAAATAACCATTAAGAGTGGAGCCGGTCAAGTTACTGGCAAAGTATAAGGAACGGCTGAATTTTCTCCCCAAATCCATCATCCTCTTGAAATTTTTATAATATCATGCACATGATATATAAGACAAGGATTTATCTTCTTGCATTTTAGTTTCAAGCTAAGCAGCAAAGGATTAGCTAGGATTGTGGATGATTTGTGAAATAAACTATAAGGTAAATAAAAACTAAGTTATGCTTGATGGGTTATATTATACATTGCTAAATATGTCCTATTATAGCTATTATATTTTAATGGTGGTGCTGACTTTAAACAGTAGTCTTTTAGTTTTAACTGACATTTATGCATTTCCTTGTTTTAAAAAATGATCTAGGGCAGTGAGGTTTTCTATATTTTTTTCCTATATTTTTCTAAATTTACCTCTCCAAATTCTCAGTAAAAATTATGGGGAAAGCCATAAAAACATCACCCCATAATACTGCACACATAAAGAGAATACTTTCAATTGTAATTTGTTTTTAATTATTCTGTATTTTTTGGTTTTAAAATTATGATTTATTTAAAAATGATCAGTTACACCTTATGTTAATGACCAACACTATTTAACTATCTTCTAGTGAAAATAATTCAAGAAAACATAAAGGTTTATTTTGTAATTCATTTGGTTAGATGCTTTAAAACTTCTTCCAGTGCCTTAGTTGTAGTTATTAACCAAAAATACTTCAAATATTTAAAAATAAAAGCATTATATAAATCATTGGATGAGACTGCAGCTAATAATACAACTATTTTCTGATTATTTAATATATCTCAATATGAACACATCTTAAAAGTATAAACATACCGGTAGTCCAGGAAGTCCAATTCCTCCTTTTTCACCTGGCATACCTGGGTCCCCCATGTCTCCCTTTGAGCCTTTGAGTCCCTACAAATGACATGATTTGCACTTAAGAATCATACTGACCATTGATGGTGACATAGTAGGGAAAATAGAATTCCAGATCAATTCTGTCAACAAATGGATCCTATGCTGAGATGACTATGATTTTCATTTTTAGGTAGAGTTATCTCTTATAGCAACCTTCTACATTAATCACTATAATCTCCCCTTGTAATGGAAGAGATTAAATTCTATTACTTAGGCCATTTAAGTATGAAAAGCATAAGCGTAAGTGTTGATGTCATTTCTTCTGATTCCACATTTTTACCTGGTAGCTAATTCTATGTCATCAGTTCTGAAAACAACTTAATGGATTTAATGCATAACAGAACAGTACACATTTTGAACCAGGACCTAGTGTTATAGTAACAAAGGTACAAATAAATTTCTCCCATCTCCATTCATTATACATTCCCTACCCTTTCTTAAGTGTAGGCGGAAGTTCCCGTCACCAGTTTTCAATGGTTAAGTCTACAGACTGGGAGGTCATTCATTACACACTCATGTTCAATTAATGCTTAGAAATACTTCCACTTTGTATTCTCATTTTGTTCTCATGACATCTCTATGAGGTGATCCAGGATGTGATTTTTATTCTTGTTTTACAGTAAGGAAATAGATATATGCGGATTCTGAAGGCAAACACAGGAATTTTGCAATACTAATACTGAAATTAATGTACATCATTAAGCATTTTCACCCAAGGAGGCTTACCACACTATGACCAGATGGCCCACTCTTCAGCAGAGATGATCATTGCTATTTTAGTTATGATTATAGGGCTTCCGGGTTGCAGTAACCTGTTCAACTTTCCTGTACTAAAAACTACTTAAGGACAGGAAGGTTCTTTTCTTGTTACTTACATCTATTTCATAGCACCTACTTCAGAGTCATCTATTAGGAGGATGGGTGGGTACCTAAATAGATGGATCTTAAAGCTAATCAGATCCTGGTTGGTTTTAGGAATCTAGTAATAGCAGCAGGATAGCCAACCCAATGGACCTAGTATAAAAGATTTTGTAAAGCCTATAGAAAAAAATTCAGCTATTGTATGTGTAGGGATGTCTATGTAGTATGTTATAATGTATATCAAATTATTTATAATGATTAACTGGGGAAAAACCACTGGGTTTTTAAATGCTAATGTGATCTCTGATGGATACAGCAGATCATCTAAAGTCTTTTTTTAGCTACCACATGTTAACTTAGTGTGACATTATATGATTTCAATATACAACTCCGATATTAAAATAACTCTTCTCTTAATTTACTGATCTAATACAAACTTCTGAGGAGTTTATTCCACAAGCTGTATAAATAATGTCCTTGGTTTCTTATGATCTTCTTGATATTAGTCATTTCTTGGGTAAATTATGGAAGCCCAGGAAACATCAGATATCTTGAAACTAATTCTTGTGATTAGACTCTCTGAATATTGGATATTGTCTACATTTGCCTGGTCAGATTCATTTCTTTCAGAGGTGAGCAAACCAAGGCGCAGGGCCAAATTCAGCTCAGGAATTGTTTTTGTACAGGCCGGATGTTTAAAATAAATTTTAAAAATTTGATAGAGAATGTATATGGTCTGTAAAGCCTAAAACATTTGCTCTCTGGTCCTTCACAGAGAATGTTTGCCAATATCTGTGTTAGGGGGAAACCCTCAGAGAGACTGTTCATATTCTACAAAGCTACAAGTGTCCTGCTTGTTTCTGTCTTTTCTAATGATCTAGAAAATTAGCTGTAGTCTTTATTTGGGAAAATAAAACAATATCGAAATAACATGTGTAAGCAATATCTAGTTTTGTAGAAACTATGGTCACAGATTTAAATCTTAAATTAATTTGTATTCACTGATAAGAATTAGATAATTCTTACTAAATTGGTAATGATCTTACAAGTCTAATAAAAATTCATGGATATGTCATTGGTAGATTGATCAGAGTTATTAAGACAAATCTAAGGTATCCTATAACCGGTATGTTTCTACAAAGAAAAGCAATGTCTACTTTAAAACTAATTGCTTTTTAAAGCTAATATAGTCTCTAGAACAGAAGGTAAAAAAAAGAGAATATTATATATCAACAGTGTCTTCAAACCTATAATAAAAGGTAATTAATAATGATGCTTTAAATGACAGTATATAGCTTTGAAAATTACCTGCTCTCCATCAACTCCTGGGACTCCCGGGGATCCTGGCTCTCCCTGTTAAGATAAAAATTAATGGCTAGCTTCTTTATTATTGGTAGCATACTACACTAAAAATGATGCAAAAAAATGATGCTAGTTGGTAACAGTACAATTTACCTTTCAGCAAATGCATCGTAACTTGAATATGTTATTATATCATACCACATCATTACACAAAGTGAAATAACATTTTTTTACTATTATGTATAATAATATTTATCCATAGCTAATTAAGATCCAGCATTTAAAAAAAATTTTATCCCCTCATGTGAGATTCAGGCTAAAAAAATTGCTATCATTTGATGGCAGAGCATATCCTATAGCGACAACCTATATGCCTCAATTAGTTAATTTTTTTCTCCTTAAACAATCAGTATGATGTCTCTTATTTTCAAATTTGAGAAAAGAGCAAAAACATAGCAGTTAACTTAAGAAAAAATAACATGCAAGGGCACATACATTTATAATATTTTACCTGGCATTGTTTGAACAGTGAATACAAATTCATAATGATTGTGAATGTGATATTTCCAGATAAGCCTCATTGAAGGACATAATAAATCAGATAATATCTTAATCTGCAGAAAATTACTTTGGGATCAATTCAATTTCCTATACTATGCTAGGAATGAACTAAAGTTACTATTCATAGTATGATTTATTAGAACCCTTGACAAACCTCAGATATATGAATTTATTTTTCTTAACTGAAGATGTTCCATTAAAAACAAATTTAAACAATGTGCTAGAGATTTACTCAAACAGCAAATGTCCAGTCACCTTTCAATCAGAAACGTACTGAACAACCAAATTCTTTGAAAATACAAGATATTATATCAATGGGTCATTTAGGTGGATCTCATTATAAATATCTCTGATTTCCACACCATGGAAACTTTGTAAAACCAGTTCTTTGGAGTGAGTGAATGGCTTGCCTCACAGACAGATTTCCAAGGGAGCTGACTTGAGGCTGTTTTTCTAGAAAGGCTTGTTTAGTGATGTTATAAACCACAATATTGAAATGGTTAGAGCTTCTTTCCCTGGTAAAAACTTTAAGAGCTGTTTGGCCATAGTGTGAAATCTGATCCTTCCAAATGTTAAAGGAAGGCATGACAAACAAATGAACAAAGAAAAAAACTTTTTTTTTTTCCTTTAAATTCTAGATTTCCTGCTCTTTGTGGCAGTGGCAAAGTTTATTCTGCCACAATCAAGTCTGCTGAGGTTGGATGCAACTGGTTAAGCCCTAGTTTCATGCAATCTGAATATCTGTCAGCACTCTGGGTTGGATAATGGTTGCTATGCTTTTCCTTTCAAAATGTGACTCACAAATGTTTAAAAGAAAAATACAATTCATGAATTATTTATCCTTCACCCACCAAATGTAGTTTGTAAATAATTTGATGTATAGGTCTTCCCAGGTGGCGTTAGTGGTAAAGAACCCACGTGCCAATGCAGGAGACATAGAGATGGGGGTTCGATCCTTGGGTTGGGAAGATCCCCTGGAGGAGAGCATGGCAACCCACTTCAGTATTCTTGCCTGGAGAATTCCATGAACAGAGGAACCAGGCGGGCCACAGTCCACAGGGTTGCAGAGAGTCAGACACTACTGAAGCAACTTAGCTTGCACATTTGATATATAAGAAGTCAAACAGTCCTTGTTTGATAAAGGAAGGAGAAATACTAATTGACTTTGTTCACATTCAGTCTGAGGCTCTGAGTCCTGAGCCGGAATGAGTTTTATATTAGACTCACACTGCATTTGCTGACTCCAGGTCATAGGTACATCTCACTCCAATTATCCCAGCTTTCTCAAGGGGAACTCATAGAAAGCATCAAAGACTGTATCAGCTAACCCAGGATCCCAATTACAAGATCATTGTCAGGTCTATGAGGTGGGCCAGAGTGCCAGCAAGGTGGGAAGGGTAGCAAGTAAGAGGTAAAGGTGGATGACTAACCCCATCCCCACCCCACTTGTCTAGACATTCATTTGACAATTTCTGTTGCCTTTCACTTTCAGTTCAAAGTCATTCTTGACCCCAAGGCAGAGAGCACACTTCCTATATGCTTCTTACCCAAGGCACTTACTCTATTTACTAATAACTGTGCCTTTACTTTCCTTTCTCCATCCTTGAACTGAGAGCTCCTTGTTGAAACCCCTTACTATATCCTCCTATCTTTACTAGGTATTAGTACTTATCATGGAATAGAGGTCCACCAATTAATTATTGATTGATATGATTAATAAATCAATAGTTGAATTATAAAGCACAGGGGATGTACATTTTAACAACATAGATTTCTTGACTAGGTAGTCCTTCTTGCCTCTTTTGGGTCAAGTCCTTTTGGGCTTCAGCAGGCCTCAGCTATAAAGAAGAGTCAAGTCTCAAGTTTTTTGAAGTTTGTACAGAATAAGGCACACATTTAGCATTGAGGACACTTTTGCTTCTGGAGACTTAGTCAAGTGAGGGGATAAAGCAAAAATTCAGACCTTGGTTGACTCTACAAAGAGAAAAAAGGAATCTGCAGATTTTCTTTTAGATTTTCTAGTCTAGCTCACCAAGATATTAAAGAACAGGGATCCAACGACTTTTGCATAGCACATCAAATACTGCAGTGGGATTGCAGTTCATTAATTTATTTTATCAAAGAAGAGATAGACTATTTTAATTTAACAACACAAACTACTCTGTATGTCATGATTGTCATCATCTCTTTAAGGAACCTCTGGATGCACATACTATTTAAGTTCTATTTCTTTAAAAAATCTTTCTTGTCTCTAAAATAACTGAAATAATCTATATTACAAAAATTACAATCTATACTATTAATATTTTAAATAAATTATGTAATTTAAACCAGAAAGTTTAATTTTGTGTGTGTGTAAATTTAGTGAATTATGTTAAATGTTCAAATCTAGAAAAAAAATAAAGAATAGGGATCCAGGCCAACTTGTTTACCAGGAACATAGGCTGTATATTATTGGGTCATTTTTTTGTGTTATATCTCTTAGGGACCAGAATGTGGTGGAGAAATAAAAAGTAAAAAATCCCCAAACTTACATTAATGTTATACATGAAATCTGTTTGAAATTAGAGTCTATGTTCTAAATATATCCCACATAGGCAAGGATCTTAGTAATATTTTACTCCATGTTCCTTTTTCTAATAGAAAAATAATTGTTTCTATGTGCTAGCTTTCTGTTTTTAAGTATCTTGAAAGAGAAAAGTACAAAAACTGATGTGTGCATTTGTGTGTGTGTGTGATAGATTTTGCAAATAAACTGCCTTAAGAGGCACAAACAAAAAATGGATTTTGACATCACTTGAATCACCTACAAAAAACCCAATGACAAAGTCATATTTCAACATATGTAGTTCAGTCCTGAAAAGACAGAATTGCTGGCCATGTGTTAACTGATTGAGCATGGTTGAATAAGCTTTAGTTTGGAGAGGAAAAGCTAATGCTACTAACAAATTTTTGATATAATCAAGTAATTTTGTTCCTTCTGTTTATAGTTGGTATGTTTTATTAGATGAAGTATAGATGGCAGAACAATTGAATATATATACAGTATACAGTGTTGTAAACATGACTGAAAATGGTTTCTAAAATTATCATTTGTGAATGTGTCATGCTGAAGCTTTTCTTGTTCTTTTTATTACAAAAGAATTGAAGATAAAGATCTTTTTTAATGTCAGAGCAAATCTTCCTTCAATCCTTCTCTATTTAAACGTTTGCCTTTTTTCCATATACCACATTAGGTATTTCTCTACACTTACCATTTTTGTAAAACTTATTTCTCTTTTGCTTAATACTCTGTTTTTCTGAGTGTTCTCCTTCTAAATTTAATGCCATTTCTATTTATTTCACTGCTTTCCTAATTTTTATTTTTTTCTGATTCCTCTTCCTTCAGTCCAGAACTCAGTTTCTATTTTCAGCTCTCTTAAGCAATATTGCTGATCTCAGCTCCTCCAGTATTTCATAAGACTGATTTTCAAAGACACATATATTTAATATGGATTCTCTGCACCATATTTAGTAAACGGAAACAAATAGAACAAAGAATAACCTTTGGCCCTTGCAGTCCTTGAGGTCCAGGTGGTCCAGGGGGACCCTAAATCCAGAAAAGACAAAGTTTTAAAAGATAGCAACTATCTGTATTAAAATGCATGCTTTAAATAATAAGCACATGATACACTTCCCTAATTTCTATCATAATCAAATATCCTCCAGTATTGATTTGCAAAGAGGAAACATTTCGCTGGTTAGAGAATTATAAAAACTACCTACATATATGCAAAAAAACCCACAAAACCCACCATATTTGGGTTAAAATAATGCTCTCAAGCTGATTTGTAAAACAATATAAGATCATTGCTGCCCTGTTCCACATTCATCTTTCAGGGTTGAATTAACATCCTAATGTTTCCTCTGTTTCTAGAAACACTTCTCCCACCCGCCACAAACGCTTTAATTTCCCAAACACTAAAGAACAAAGCTGTATTATTGAGATAAGGCCAAAGACTTTTAAGAAAAATAGCAATAAATTTTTTCTTGACTTTTTTTTTTAACTAAGCAGACAAAGTGATTCAACTGGGGCAAATGTTGTAAGAGGTTATTGACATAAGAAAACATATTAACTAGCAGATAAAAACAGTGGCTACATTAGTACCATTATGACCGGCATGCATCAACACTGAATACAAAGTCACAAACCACAGAAATCATGCAATAGGAGTTACCGTGACTGTTAACGTGGTAATCCTCTGTTGGGAAAATGTATTGATAAAGACAGTTACCTAATTGTGTGCCAAAGTACAGTAATACATTTCCGAAATAATCAACTTTTGGATTATGTTTTGGTAAGAACTGACAAGAAACTGAGAACATATCCTATTTTTGAACGAATATCATAGATTGTAAAGATTCTTTTTACAAATTATTTTTAGAATTTTATTTAAAACCCTGTGGATAAAGGAGAAAGAAAATGTCAAAATTTTAATTCACTTGACTTAAATTATGAAGTAAAATAGTATGCACCTGTGGTTTGTCAGCATAACTGTGAGCTGAGAAACTTTGCTATTCATAAAAGCTCTATTTCTAGGGCACCTTGACTAGAGAAAATGAAATATCTAACTGTATAGGTCATGCTTTTGTCTTTTAGATTGTATCTTGTTTGTTGCATTGTAATTAGCTTGAGTGTGTGTGTGTGTGTGTGTGCTTGTGACATGACTAAGACAGGAACTGACATGGGATTCACCTTGTTTCTGAAAGCAAAGGACTTGACTACTGTGCCAAAATATGTTCTCTCAAAGTGTGAGTCTCTAAAACAGCCAATTCCTAATCCACGACACGTTTCTGCATTAAGATTTTCCAGTCTAAGTGTTATACAAAAACTTCTGTAAGGCCTTTTCTTTTTTTCTTTTTTGATGATTTAAAAAAGCTTTTTTTCTTAAGAATTCTTTATTTTTGACTGAGCTTGGTCTTCATTGTGGTGCACAGGCTCTCTCTGGCTGCAGCAGTCAGAGGCTACTTGCTAGTTGTGGCTTCTCAGTGCGGAGGCTTCTCTTGTGCGGAGCACAGACAGTATTAGTGGTGCTCGGGCTTAGCTGCCCCCGGAAGGCCTGTGCCACTTTTACGGGATTTTAGAGGGGAGAACATTTTCTATTAGGAGCTCTGGTCCTAGGAAAAAACACTGTCCAGTTACATGTGAACTTGTGAATATCAGGCAGAATATCCATCCCTTTGTCTTCCACTACTCCATCAGTTCAGTTCAGTTAAGTGGCTCAGTTGTGGCCAACTCTTTGTGACCCCATGGACTGCAGCACGCCAGGCTTCCCTGTCCATCACCAACCGTTACTCCATTCCATGATCTAATTCAAGGTGCTGTTTTTATTGTGTTGTAAAAAATAATTTTAACATTATCCATCTACCTCACTTCAGACACTTGAGTTTTTAGTGATATAGTGTCATCATTTCTTAGAAACAATGTATTTATGGACATGTAGAGATGGTTCAACTTTGTATTCTATGGTAAAATCAGTCATAGTCATTACAGCTTCAGAGAGAACAGGGTAGGAAAAAACAACCCAGAGCTTTTAAGGTAAAAGACAAAATGGCCACAAACTGGGGGCAAGGTTATTAAAAAATCAAGGTCCAGATTTTTATACCATCATATATATGTAACATAAGATACCACTTATTTTATACTTAAAGGATTCACCTGGAGCAAGAGTTTAATTTATGGTGATGGGAAAGCTACTTCTCAGCTCCTGTATATAGATGAGTCATTTTTTAAAGGCCATTAGAAAATTACTGAGCAGAAATAATTTCCTTGCCATAGCTTTCCAACTAAAAATTCTTTCTTTTTTTTTAAACTAGAAAGTGAATCCCGAAAAGCTTAGAAAGGGGGGTAGTTTAAAATTTGAACTCTCAGAAGTTTTCCAATCTGTGTCATATATGCTTCATTTTCCACCTAAATGCAAAACTAGTTTGTCTTTTTTTTTAATTTAAGGATAACAACATGTTTTATAATTAATTGCATAAATGAAAGAATATTATTATTGTGAACTGAACTATTGAACAGATGGGGCTTAAATGACTTTGTTAAATAACTATATTTGTGAGACCTAAAAATTATACAGGATAGTTTCCACTCAGTTAACAGAAGAACAAATGACAGAAAACTAAGCTAACTTCTCAAAAACATAATTTTTACTGCCATCCTGAAGAACCAGTATGTAGACACTCAAGGACTTCGCAAATATGTTGGCTCACTTTGGATTTCTTGTATGTGGTTCCTCTAAGTTAACACGACATAAACTCAGCAGGGCTCTCTGCTGAACTTCAGTAATGATTTGAAAACCAGAATTTTGGGTAGTGATGGAGAAAGTCATGTCATTCTCTACTGAGCTGCGATGTGAAATGGAAGGCATGAGATAGAAAAGCTGTAAATTGGTTGAAGGCTGGCAAGATGCTGGGTGATTTACTCTCTGAGATACTAATGTGAATCTCTTTAGGATTAATGGTTATTTTCTTTCATGTCTTATAATGAAGCAAGCTTAAAATCACCTCTGATTTACCCTAGAGAACAGGTTCAGTTTATATGGTGTTGAGAAATTTTAAAAGCTTGAGTTAGAGCTTTTAAGAGCTTTTAAATGAAAAGGTTTTGCTGCTAATTGTGGAAACATAATCACCTTAAAAAAAATAAATGACTTATGACAAATGGCCATGTAAATACAGGCATACCTTGGAGATATTGTGGGTTAGGGTTTCAGACCACTGAAATAAAGTGAATATTGCAATAAAGCAAGTCATACAAATTTTTGATTTACCAGTATAAGTAAAAGTTATGTTTAAACTGTAATGTGGTCTATTAAGTGTGCAATAGCATTATGTCTAAAGAACAATATACATACCCTAATTGAAAAATACTTTATAGCTCAAGGATATATTGTACAATAGCCAATATTTTATAATAACTATAACCTTTGAAAATGACAAATCAGTATATTGCTCACCTGTAACTTATGTAATATTTTACATTAACTATACTTCAAAAAAAATACTTTAACACTAAAAAATGCTAACTATCATCTGAATGTTCAGAGAGTCATAATCTTTTTGCAACCGTAACATCAAAGATCACTGATCACAAGGAATTCCCTGGTGGTCCAGTGGGCTGGGGTTTGATCCTTGGTCAGGGAACTAAGATCCTGCAAGCCACGTGGTGGGGCCAGAGAAAAAAAATCACAGATCACCATAACAAATATAATCAAAATAATTTGCAATATTGTGAGAATTACCAAAATGTGGCAGAAAAACATGTAGTGAGTAAATGCTACTGGAAAAAAGGAGCCAATAGACTTGCTTGGCACAGGGTTGCCATAAACTTTCAATTTGCAAAAAAAAAAAGAAAAAGTGCAGTATCTTCAAATTGCATTAAAGTGAAGCACAATAAAAGGAGGTATGCCTGTAACAATTTTCAATAGAGGTAACAATAAACAGTCCTGAATATTCATTGAAAAGACTGATGCTAAAGTTGAAGGGCCAATACTTTATCCACCTGATGTGAAGAACTGACTTATTGGAAAAGACCCTGACGCTGGGAAAGATTGAAGGCAAGAGAAGAATGGGGCAACACAGGATGAGAGGGTTGGATGGCATCACTGACTCGATGGCTATGAGTTTGAGAAAGCTCCATGAGTTGGTGATGGACAGGAAAGCCTGGTGTGCTGCAGTCCATGGGGTCACAAAGAGTCGGACACGACTGAGAGACTGAACTGACTGACTGAGGATTGAGATATAAACTGAACTAGTTGGTTGTGATAGATACTGACTGGCTTACAGTCATATAGAACTCAAGGTGAAAAAAGAAAGTGAGTGCACATCTCTTCTTTCATATCAAGATGTAGGTATTAGATTTTTTAAAAAAGTACAGTGTATTCAGGCACATCAACAAAGTATATTCAGCTCCTAAAAAAAAAAAAAACTCTACGCATAATATTAGATTTTATGGATCTCAAAAAAGATCCATTTAGAAACATTCTTATTTTATAGATAAGATCAATGAAATATAGACATTTTGTGATTTCCCCAAAGGGACACACCTAGTTAATAACAGAGGGCAAATCAAAGCAGATTTTGGTTTTAGACTAAGGGTAGTCTGCTTCATGCCAAGCTCTGTTCATGGAAAGGCTTTAAAACTCTTCCACAATTTTTCCATAAAATGGCCATGGTCAAAAATATTGGAGCATATCTTGGAAGATAAGAGAATGGATACCTCTTAAAGGTAGTTAAAATAGTTGTGGTGCCACTGGAAGCAGTTCAAGGGAAACGGACAATATTGTTCAGAAAGTTAAAAATGTGTCCCTACATTTTATAAGTAAGAACTCTTAACAACATAGTAGGTAACCAAAACTTTCTGTTCTTTTCTTTCTTTATACATGCAGATAGCAACTTCTGGGGAACAGGGGGCAATTTTAGAAAGCAAGTTCTAGAACTTGACAGGAGCCCAGAATCTACTGCTTGAGTCTAATCCACTTGTGGTGAGGAACACTCATGCAAGCTGTTGACTGAACACACTGCCAAGGGATGTTTCTCCAAGCAGTAAGCATGCTTTTCTTTGTGCTTTACCAGAAGAAGAAAAAGAAATGAAAAATAGGCTTAGCTGAAGATAGATTCTGTAAAAACTATGTAATAAATGCTTTACTGGTTAAAAATGACAGTTCTAACAAAGGACACACAGAAGTGTAGTAGATCTACCATAATTTGATAATGCTAATGAAATCATATAGATGGAAAAAAATTCAAGCAAGTACAAAATGGAAAATATTTAAAACAACTAATTTGACTTTCAAGCAGAGAAATAGATTGTGCTTAGGAACTAAGTATAATCACTAATTCAACCAATAACTTTATTTAATATTTACATTCCCAGACCTGGGTTGGACACATTGTGGGAGTCAAAATAACCACACAACAAGTTTTCTGTCAACAAGTAATTTACAATTTGGTAAGAGGCAGGACTAAAGTAAATTAGGGGATTTTGGAGAATAGTTAAATGTTAAACTACTGGGTCCTGACTGCTAATATTTCAAAGGATTCAGAGGAGGAACTCGTCTGGGTGGCAGCAGCGAACAGTTGAAGCAGATTTAGATGGATGAATGAAAGGAAAAAGAGAACCAGGAAAAGAGCGATTTTTATAGATATGATAACTATGTTGTGGAGAAATAAAAACATCTGTATAGAAAAGACAGGGTTATAGGGCCTTAAACATCAGATGGAGACGCTTAGACTTGATAAAGTAGGCAAAGGGGTCACTGAGGGTTCTGAACAGACTGGGGTCATCAAAATAGTGATAATTTAGGAAAATCAGAAGAGTAACCCTCTTGACTACCATCTATGTGTTTTTACTTGATGAAAGAAAAAGAATTGCAAAGTAGCAGTATTAAGAAGCAACTATAGGGGACTCATGTGCCAGGCACGTTTCCAAGTATTTAGTCATCTACTTCTCACAACAACCCTATTTATGTTTTGAGGCAGATACTATTATTGTCCTCATTTCACGGAGAACTAAATAACTTGCTCTAGCTCATGCACTTAATAAGCAAGAGACCTGAACCCAGGCAGCTCCAACTCCAGAGCCACAGGGCTCTTAATGGTTTTGCTAAGTTCACTTTTCAAGAAAGGAGACAAAGATAGGCAAAACCAATATAAGTTAAACCAGATAAAACTAAATATGTCTGGTGGTAGAAGGAAAATAAATGGAAGGATTGAAAAACACTAGGAAATAAAGAGGATAAACTGGGCCAAGGAGAAGAAGCTGGGTTCAAGAGATGAGGGAGAAGGTGTGCTTTGAGTGGTAGAACCCTCTGAGATCTGAGGCAGGTGGAAGGTGATATTTCGATACACTACACGGGTCTCATCGGTGTCCCTGTCTGTGTCAGGATGGGGAGCAGTCACTTGCCTGCAAGGCTTCGTGGAGGTTGCCATTGTAGTCTATGATTTCGGTGGCTCCCGGATCTCCCTTCTGACCAGGTGGACCCTACGTAAAAATAAACCAAGAGAACATTAGGCTAGGATGGCGAAGGGACTGTGGCAGAAACAGGAACAGTAACACGCATGCTCTCTCTGACCTTCAGTTCTCGATTGAGGCCCAAATACATGTTAAAATGAATAAATCATGTTCAAAGTTTGTCCTTATTTCAAAGCAGGCAAACTACTTCTATGGTATATTAAAGATATTAAATCAGATAAAAAAGAAAAAAGATTCAATATCAAAAACTGCTCCCTGAAAATTATTATATGTAGGCTAATCTGATTTGACTGACAGAATTTTGCTGGCTTTATCTATATTTATTAAAGCAACCCCTGACATCTTTCTCATCCACACCACAAAGACTGCTTCCTAATTTTTTAAGAAGATAGAACATTATACTATAGGAAATGCTTGCTTTTCCAACAGGAATAGAACTCCATTAAAATTGAATCAAACAGGGAATAAATACATGTGCATATATATATTTTAGTATATATATATGGAGGGAACAAATATTTTTAAGATGTCTACCCTACTCAGTAGCTCTGCCACTGAATTTCCATTAGTTATGTCCTAATTCTTTGTGTTTTAAAAAGGTTCTGAAAATTTGGACGATTTCTTTCTTTATAATTGAGTTAATTGAAAAGTGGAAAGTTCTATTGTTAGATGGCTGTGGGTTTGCTACTGCTCATTTAGCAGAGGGACAGTAGACAGAGTTCTTTACAACTTCTTGCGGAGCTTATCTCATGTGTCCAAATTTACAAACTCAGTGCTCCTAGTGACTACAATAAAAAATAGGGAGAAAGGGAGGGGTAGCAGGAATAATCACAGTAGTCTACCTGCTGTGCTATTATTGGGCATTAGTAATCCAAGTGCCTTGTGAAAAGCCACACAGACACACACTTCAAATCTAGACTTGTTAGAGGCCAAAGCTGTAGATGAGACACACTCACCCTCGGTCCCAGGGCTCCAGAATCCCCTTTGTCTCCACGATCGCCCTTTCCCCAGTGAAAAGAGAAAAAGAACCTTGTTAGTTAGTAGTGAGGCCAACAGTCCCCAAATATCTCAAATCCAAGGATTTGATATCCCAGTATTTAATCCAAGGATTTAAATCCAAGTATTTACTGTCATTCAGTGGCACCTTTAATATGAACTTTTGAAATGTCAAATAGCAACATGAAATACAATAACCCCTGACATGGCAAACGCTTCTTTAAGATGCCCCTTAAAGTGAATTAAATTTCCCCCTTCAGAGGGCAGAGTATCTTGAAACAGCAATACATACAGTACTAATTGTTTACCAGGGACCTTCAAAGGCAAAGCAAGTGGCTTCTAAGACACCTAAAGTTAAGCTTTAATCTCTAGATTGAGCCATGTTCTTGCTTTTATGTGAAGAGATTTGGTGCAAGGGGGAAAAGAGCCAACCAGTTAATAGGTTATCTGTTCTCTAAGAAGAAAAAGTGTGGATAATCAGGACAAGGAAGGAAGAGAGATCAACCAGGAGCCCAGTGTTGGGAGATTTAGGAGGGAAAGGCCCCCCGTGGGTCTCCCTCTGATGATAAGTATCTAAGGAAACCTTGTCTACTTAGGAAGTGATGGAGAGGGCAGCACCCTGGTAGACCAGGGTGGCCAGGCTGAAGGTCAAGAGCTGGGCAAACCTGGCTCTCTCTCTTTTTTCCAGTGTACTAAGAAAAGTCTTTACATGTCCATTTATAGTGTTTTTGCCACTTCATTCCTACCCCTGGACAGACACCAGGAATCACCTAAGCCTCAAATTGCAGAATACATCACTAAGAACACTTCAGAAAGTCTCGGAAATCTCAACAGAAAATTTGGAGGAGATATTTGAACCTGTGTAGAACTGAGGGTTCTTTGAAATAGCCTAAAATTTACAGAGCCCTTTTACTAAACAGGATTCAAAGCATTTTTCTGTATCTTTCTACATATCCTTATAAACTGGAATAAGGACCAGTGAAGATAAGCAGTAAAAAGGATTATGATTTTTTCTATCCACAATATGCTAGTAACACTGACCATAATAATTAAATTTGCTTGAATGGAGAATTATATCTGTTTTCTGCTTTCCCCATTTCCCATGCTACTCATTAATAATAACATGATTCTGCTAATAGTATACAGATTATTTGATAAAGGAGAGAATTTCCATTGGTGGTGAAATTTTAATGCAATGAAGGGAGTCAACTGACTTAAAAGCAAACTATATTTGAACATTTATCACAAAGATAGCCAGGAAATAAAAAATAATATTATATTGCACACAATGTAAACTAAGTAAAGTACTTAAATTTTTCCAAACAAGCTATATTTATGAAACAGGAAGTACATTTTCTCTTAAAGAATGGTCTGAAGCACAGGAACACAAAAACAAGATGAAACAAACCAACTGTCCTGAGATATCATCATAAGGATGAAATTACAGCAATCCCAGTGTACGAAAGAGTTTAATCCAAAATATGACTTTCCTGCGGAAAAGGCAAGAAGCACACTCTTGATGGCCTCATGTTATGTTAAAATGGTTACCCGGTTACTGACCTTTGACCCTTTTGGGCCTCTAGTTCCTGATTCACCTTGTTTCCCCTATTATAGAAGAATATGAAGATGGAAAAGAGAAAATGATAGAGGGACATAAGAATAGAAAAAAGAAATTAGCAGTGACTCAGAATAATGAAGAAAAATGGAAACACTTTATTTTAACTGCCTTAATATGTGGCTCTATATAATGTAAACTGTTGCAACACCGAACATAAGTATTATCACCACATCATTAGTTCACCCCCTGGTCTCTTCACCAACCTTCATGTCATCATAATTCTAAAGACTGACCACCCATTGGTGGATGGGAAGAGTTCTCTAGATAATTCTCAGTAGTCTCAAGAGTGTTTGCTTATAAATTTCCTTTTCATCAAAGAGGAGGTCATTTCCCAATGTCTCTAGGATGGGTTATTAAAATAAAGTGTTACCACATAGTTTGCAGGAAGTTTAGAGGAATAGATTGAATAGTCAAATAAATCCTTAGTTCTCATATTTTCACGGTGTTACACACCATCAAGTTACCATGGAAACTAACACAGTGTGGATCCATATTTCCCTCAGTAGGTTTTTGTTTGCTTGTTTATTTTTGTTTTACATATATATTTTTAAATGCAGGGATTTTTTGTTTTTGGCCATGTCTCTCAGCCTGTGGGATCTTAGTTCCCTGACTAGGGGTTGAACCTGTGCCCTCTACAGAGTCCTAATCACTGGACTCAGTAGGTTTTAATATGCCTAGAGTGGTAATGTGTTAATGTGATAGTCCCTCCCCATTGACATTTGGATGTGTTATTAAATTTATTGACTGAATAGAACAGAGTAAACTGGAAAAGTTGAACTGTAAAACCCCTTTTAGAAAATAACAAATTGGTATGCATTTCAATGAATTATTTGTGATTTGGGGTTGTTTTAATACCCCTTGAATAATTTTATTTTACTTGCATGTTCTAAAAGTAAGTGGTATACATTTCCAAACTGAGAATGTTGTTTTCCAGTGTGAGAATAACTGACCTTTGGTCCAGGGGCTCCAGGCTCCCCTCGGTCCCCTCGTCCAGGAGGCCCTGCCTCCCCACGTTCGCCCTGCAACAAATCACAAAATAAGTAAATGGTGACCCACCTTCCCCCAACTGGTCCCTGTAGATTAATGAGTGAGGTGAATAAAATCAAAGAAAGTTACTATTTATTTACTACATACTTAGCACTGTATTTTTTTTGGAGCCCCCCAAAATAAAGTCTGACACTGTTTCTGCTGTTTGCCCATCTATTTCCCATGAAGTGATGGGACCAGATGCCATGATCTTAGTTTTCTAAATGTTGAGCTTTAAGCCAACTTTTTCACTATCCTCTTTCACTTTCATCAAGAGGCTTTTTAGTTCCTCTTCACTTTCTGCCATAAGGGTGGTGTCATCTGCATATCTGAAGTTATTGATATTTCTCCTGGCAATCTTGATTTCAGCTTGTGCTTCTTCCAGCCCAGCGTTTCTCATGATGTACTCTTCATATAAGTTAAATAAGCAGGTGACAATATACAACCTTGAGGTACTCCTTTTCCTATTTGGAACCAGTCTGTTGTTCCATGTCCAGTTCTAACTGTTGCTTCCTGACCTGCACATAGGTTTCTCAAGAGGCAGGTCAGGTGGTCTGGTATTCCCATCTCTTGAAGAATTTTCCACAGTTTATTGTGATCCACACAGTCAAAGGCTTTGGCGTAGTCAATAAAGCAGAAATAGATGTTTTTCTGGTACTCTTTTGCTTTTTCAATGATCCAGCAGATGTTGGCAATTTGATCTCTGGTTCCTCTGCCTTTTCGAAAACCAGCTTGAAATTTGGAAGTTCACGGTTCACATATTGCTGAAGCCTGGCTTGGAGAATTTTGAGCATTACTTTACTAGCATGTGAGATGAGTGCAATTGTGCCGTAGTTTGAGCATTCTTTGGCATTGCCTTTCTTAGGGATTGGAATGAAAACTGACCTTTTCCAGTCCTGTGGCCACTGCTGAGTTTTCCAAATTTTTGGGCTCCAAAATCACTACAGATGGTGATTGCAGCCATGAAATTAAAAGACGCTTACTCCTTGGAAGGAAAGTTATGACCAAACTAGACAGCATTTTATTTATTTATTTATTTTCCATTTATTTTTATTAGTTGGAGGCTAATTACTTTACAACATTGCAGTGGTTTTTGTCATACATTGAAATGAATTAGCCATGGATTTACATGTATTCCCCACCCCGGTCCCCCGTCCCACCTCCCTCTCCACCAGATCCCTCTGGGTCTTCCCAGTGCACCAGTCCCGAGCACTTGTCTCATGCATCCAACCTGGGCTGGTGATCTGTTTCACCCTAGATAATATACATGTTTCGATGCTATTCTCTTGAAACATCCCACCCTCGCCTTGTCCCACAGAGTCCACAAGTCTGTTCTATACATCTGAGTCTCTTTTTCTGTTTTGCATATAGGATTATCGTTACCATCTTTCTAAATTCCATATATATGTGTTAGTATACTGTAATGGTCTTTATCTTTCTGGCTTACTTCGCTCTGTATAATGGGCTCCAGTTTCATCCATCTCATTAGAACTGATTCAAATGAATTCTTTTTAATGGCTGAGTAATATTCCATGGTGTATATGTACCACAGCTTCCTCATCCATTTGTCTGCTGATGGGCATCTAGGTTGCTTCCATGTCCTGGCTATTATGAACAGTGCTGCGATGAACATTGGGGTGCATGTGTCTCTTTCAGATCTGGTTTCCTCGGTGTGTATGCCCAGAAGTGGGATTGCTGGGTCATATGGCAGTTCTATTTCCAGCTTTTTAAGAAATCTCCACACTGTTTTCCATAGCGGCTGTACTAATTTGCATTCCCACCAACAGTGTAAGAGGGTTCCCTTTTCTCCACACCCTCTCCAGCATTTATTGCTTGTAGACTTTTGGATAGCAGCCATCCTCACTGGCGTCTAATGGTACCTCATTGTGGTTTTGATTTGCATTTCTCTGATGATGAGTGATGTTGAGCACCTTTTCATGTGTTTTTTTGCCATCTGTATGTCTTCCTTGGAGAAATGTCTGTTTAGTTCTTTGGCCCATTTTTTGATTGGGTCATTTATTTTTCTGGAGTTGAGCTGGAAGAGTTGCTTGTATATTTTTGAGATTAATCCTTTGTCTGTTGCTTCGTTTGCTATTATTTTCTCCCAATCTGAGGGCTGTCTTTTCACCTTGCTTATAGTTTCCTTTGTTGTGCAAAAGCTTTTAAGTTTCATTAGGTCCCATTTGTTTATTTTTGCTTTTGTTTCTAAAATTCTGGGAGGTGGGTCATAGAGGATCCTGCTGTGATTTATGTCGGAGAGTGTTTTGCCTATGTTCTCCTCTAGGAGTTTTATAGTTTCTGGTCTTACATTTAGATCTTTAATCCATTTTGAGTTTATTTTTGTGTATGGTGTTATAAAGTGTTCTAGTTTCATTCTTTTACAGGTGCTTGACCAGTTTTCCCAGCACCACTTGTTAAAGAGGTTGTCTTTTTTCCATGTATATCCTTGCCTCCTTTGTCGAAGATAAGGTGACCATAGGTTCGTGGATTTATCTCTGGGCTTTCTATTCTGTTCCATTGATCTGTATTTCTGTCTTTGTGCCAGTACCATACTGCTAGACAGCATTTTAAAAAGCAGAGACATTACTTTGCGAACAAAGGTCCATCTAGTGAAGGCTATGGTTTTTCCAGTGGTCATGTATGGATGTGAGAGTTGGACTGTGGAGAAAGGTGAGTGCTGAAGAATTGATGCTTTTGAACTGTGGTGTTGGAGAAGACCCTTGAGAGTCCCTTGGACTGCAAGGAGATCCAACCAGTCCATCCTAAAGGAGATCAGTACTGGGTGTTCATCAGAAGGACTGATGCTGAAGCTGAAACTCCAATACTTTGGCCACCTCATGCGAAGTGCTGACTCATTGGAAAAGACCCTGATGCTGGGAGGGGTTGGGGCCAGGAGGAGAAGGGGACGACAGAGGATGGGATGGCTGGATGGCATCACCGACTCGATGGACATGAGTTTGAATAAACTCCGGGAGTTTGTGATGGACAGGGAGGCCTGGCGTGCTGCGATTGATGGGGTTGCAAAGAGTGGGACATGACTGAACGACTGAACTGAACTGAACTAGCATTGTATTCACCTCAACATGGACCATCTCATTTAAAAATCAAAACAACTACATAGTGCTTGCATTTTCGTCCACATTTTTCTAGACAAGGAAATGGTTTGGTAGATGCCTGTCAGACACCTACGTTGGTAAATACAAAGACCTTTAAAGGGAATTGATAAGGGCCATCATTAAGCCTCGCCATAGGCACTGACATAGTCCTCATTCAGCAGTGACTTTTTAAGATCTACTAGGAAGAAGCATGGCAAAATGACTAAGCACCAGGTTTTGTAATTTGACATTCTCTGCTTTAATCCTGGCTCTGTTACTTACCAGGTCTGCGTTTTGGGGGAAATTAGTTAAGTTCTGAAAGCCTCAGTTTCCCCTACAAACTGGAGAAAATTATAGTACTGGTTTCACAACTTAAAATCAAAAGTCCTTGTCACAGAACGAGACGTTTAGGTATTACAGTTTTTGCTATATTTATAGAGCTGGGAAGGATGATCATGGTTACCGCCCTCAGGGGCCAGTGCTCTAGTAAGATAAGATCCACATGAACAAAATAGTTTAGAGTTAAGGAATAATGTAAAGTCATATGTGAGAGAAGAAGAAACTCCACAGGGTTTCCAACCGGACTGACTTCTTTTGGCTGAGACCTGGGTCAAGTCCTGAAGGATGGGTAGGGTATATTTTACAATTATTGCTATGACTGTGCTTTTGATGAGTGCACACAACACTTTACATGCATTATCCTATTGAGTTCTCAAGACAAATGAGAAAGGTGTTAGTATCCACAGTCTACAGATGAGGAAACTGAAGCTCAGAAAGGTTAAGTAATTTTCCCAAAGCCTTTAATATAGGAGAGCTGTAATTTAGAATGGATTGTACTCCATCTTCAATTTTGCATAGATGTTTTGGTGTGTAAATATTTTACACACCTCTGGTCATTTTCTTAGGATAAATTCCTAGTGGGGAAAGGTCTGTGTCAAAAATAAAAACATTTTAAAATGTTGCCAAATCACGCTCTAGGAAGATGGTTATGTTTCACTGTCTGAAAACAGAGTTGAGAGTATTTGGCTTCCTATGTGATGGGTAGAATTTCAATAATCAAACAAGTTTTGACTTCTGGTGATGGCATGTTTACGGATGAGGGATGCACCCTCCTCACTAAAGGATGGATTCATCTTGGAAAGGAAAAGAAAATAGGGTTGGATCTGTTATGGGTGATGGAGGGCTTTGAATCCCAAGATTTTTATCTATATCATGCCCCCTTTGGGAAGACTTTGTGGTTTTGCAGGGGAGGTGGGATAGATTAGGGCCAGGACTATGGAAGACTCAGTAAATTTCTCAGTATGAACCAAAAGGGAGTAGGAAAATGGAGAGGCTGGAAGAAGAACAAGGGACTTGACTGGATGTAGGAGATGGAAAAGATGCTCCAGAAGGAATTTTCCAGGGATTAGAAACTGAAGTGCTTCTACTGGTATACAGAATTTACATATATAAATGCTTGGTGATCTGCCTAATATATTACAAATGAATTCTAAAATGGTAACTATAATCTTATTTTAGGGAAGAGCAAAAATCTTAGAAAATCATTTCTCTATAGTATATAAAGTCTATATATGTTTACCTAGAATCACTTATTAACATCATGCCCTTAATTAATTGCTTATTATTCTCTGGAATTACATGGAATTACATGTTTTTTTTTCCCTTGCATCCCTTTCTCACACATATTGCAGTATAAGCTTCAACAGAAACTATTTTTGTTGCATTTAATCTCCATTCTCAAACAGTAGAAAAATGTCTGGCAAAAAATGTGTTGAATTAATGAATAAACAATATTATTCAAAGTTTTCTAAATTATTCATGATAAAGTCCTATTTCTTTAGACTGATGTAGTTTTCTTGCAGGCACTGATACAGATGCTGAGAATACAGCAGCACATAAAACAGGTTTTTAGATACCATTATACATCTTCTTCATTATGCTCTCTCTTCACTGTGTTGGGGATAAAATATGCACTGTTAGTTTTTTTTAAATCTGAATTTATTGGTACAAATCCAGACTCTCTACACAACTGGAAAAAGACTAGTATTTGGCTGAAAGAGATTTTTAAATAATCATGATTTTTCCATTATGATACCAATTTCATGTTAGGCAATTTAGCCAAAAATTAACTTCAAAATATTCTTAAATGAATTTCTTATTCACATCCTTTCTTGTGGAACTATAAAGCAATTACAGTACAGCCTTTACTTTTATTGGGAGTGCAAAGTAATATTTGTTATAAAAGTGTGGGATCTGTAAAATCGGCCCAGGTTCTTCATGAACAGTAATTAATGTTGACTTTATAGCTCTCCATCTGGAATTTTTTTGACTCTGGAACAGTTTAAAACAAATGAACAAAAGAAAAGATATTTAGGGATGAAGTCTACTCTCCAGGGGTCTGTCTGTGTTTCTTCTATTTTTCCTTGTTTTGCAAACAAAATGCCACAAACACTTAGAGATCACATTCACGCCTGGTCCTCTCTGGCAGTGAGCAGGTTTCCCACTTCTTTGTACTCATCCACAAAGCCACCTCTTCTCTGCCTGACTCTGAGGCTGCAAGCCGTACAACAGCTCTGCTGTGAGCACCGGATGCCCGTTATCCTCTTGATCTAGCTCTCTTTATGCCAGAAAGTGCATTTTGTGTGTAAATCTGTTCAGGCTAAAGCAGGCAGTCCTCATATTTTGTTAATAAACTTGTCAGCTCATTATGTGAAGAAGAACTTGCTGAGAAAAGAGCAATTCTGCGTAAATTCGATCGATTTCAGTCTCCCCTAGGCCACGCATAGTTTCCATTTACTAGGGTTAGAGTTATTTTCTCTTGACCAGCGGAAATGAGGACTCCTCTGTCAGAGCAGACCAGGAACATATTTCTCGAGCTCTTGGAAATCATCCTGGCTTATTTCTGGTGAAAGGAATACACATTGAGGCGAAGACTGCTATGGTTTAAAAATAAAAGAATGTAGTTTGATCTAATTTTGCTCTTTCTTTGATTCATGAGTCTGTCATGAATAAAGTTCCATCCTCAGAACGGTACCTTTTTATGTCTTTCCGGGTAGATAAAAAGGGAACCATGGCTCTGACTGTATCCACAGCAACATAATTTTTTATATGGCGGCATACAGATTTTGCTTTCAGAGCCCTCTCTTGGGTTGCCATGTGGAAGATCACGAGATGGTTTTCATTACAGAATTTTTCTGCAGATTTTTCAGGATGGATCCTTTCAGGATGAGGCACTAGGAATCTATATGACATCAGTACTTGCCTTTGAAATCTAGGGAGTGATGGGGGAATAGTAATAATGTTTGATTTGTAAGTCTGTCTTAAAATGGGTAATAAGGAGCTGGAGTTAATGAGGTCTACCTCTCCTTCTCAGAATTGCCTCACTTTTCCATAGAGCCAGAAGACTAACAGCACCACATCAATTTAGGTGCAACTGGGGGACAACTGGAACAACGAATGTATTCCACCATCCTGTTGCCTTGCCTAAGGTTTTCTGGAATTAATTTCCTAGTACTCTAATTTTAATAATATGCTATTTCTATTAGAAGTGTTGGGAATGGGTGCTAAGCTGATTTAGTTCTCTATTAGGCAAAACTATCTGGTCACCTGAGTAACAAAATGGACTAAAAATATGTCACAAAAATTTTTCAGAAAGAAAGGAAGGGGAAAACACTCCACTTACCTTTGTTCCTGGTAACCCTGGTAAGCCTGGTTCTCCTTGAGGGCCAATGAAACCTGGTTCTCCCTTTTAAAAAAAAGTGGACAGATGAGATCACCACATGTTTGACAGTAAATATGTTAACTATTGTTCATCCCCGGTGGCTCAGCTGATAAAGAATCTGCCTGCAATGTGGGAGACCTGGGTTCGATCCCTGGGTTCTATCCCTGGGTTGGGAAGATCCCCTGGAGAAAGGAACAGCTATCCACCCTACTATTCTGGCCTGGAGAATTTCATGGACTGCATAGTCCATGGGGTCGCAGAGTCAGACAAGACTGAGCGACTTCACTTTTCACTTCACTGGGATTTTACTTCTTTGATTGTACATAGCTTTTGCTGAGATCCAGAAACTAACTATAAAATTAATTAGAATTGGTTTTGATCAGTGACAACACTTTGAGCAAAACTTTGGAGAAGCTCTGAAAAGTAAAAGTGACAAAGAAACCAGATAAATGTCTTCACAATTTTCTTTCTCATCTATTGTCTTCTTATCATTTACCAAATCAGGTCCATTATGTTGGGGTGGATGTGGTAAGCAGCCTCTAAGATGGGCCTCAATGATACCACTTGCTGGTATTCAATTCCCTTGCAAAACCCCTCTGCTTGAGTGTGCACAGGATTTACTGACTCATATCTAATGAGCAGAATATGAAAGAAGCAACAGGATATCATTTCTGAGACTAAGTTATAAAACGTCTGTAGCTTCCGTCTTGAGGGCTCTTTCCTGTTCTCTCTCACTTGAGTCAATTTACTTTGGAGAAAACAAGCTGCCATGCTGTGAGTAGCCTTACGGCCAGGTCCCCAAGGTGAGGACTAAGGTCGGCCAATGGCCATATGTGTGAACTTGGGAGCAGGTACTCCATCCCATTCGAGTCTTCAGATGAGATCACAGCCCTGGCTGACAGCTGGATTGCATCTTCCTGGGAGACACTGAGCTAGAGGCACCCAGTTGAGCTACACTCAGATGCTTATTCCTCCAAAAATGTAAGCTGACTGTAGTGTTAAGTCACAGCAGTTTGGGACACTTATATGGTAGGCAGCAATGCATGACTGATTCAGTGGGTGTGGCTGAATCAGTGGTAAGAGATTCAAGAATGTTCAGCATAAAAAGCAAAAAAAAAATCTCTCCTTGCCACAGCTCCCAAATCTCTTCTCTATTACCTGGAGGAAACCCAGGTGTGGTATAATAAAAAAATATATTTGGCCTTGTTCCTAGTTTCTAAAATCTTTGGAATTTCCTGAATAGTAAGAGTAATAGTCCCTTGGACTGCAAGGAGATCAAATCAGTCAATCCTAAAGGAAATCAGTCCTGAATATTTATTGGAAGAACTGATGCTGAAGCTGAAGCTCCAATACTTTGGCCACCTGATGTGAAGAACTGACTCATTAGAAAAAACCCTGATGCTGGGAAAGATTGAGGGCAGGAGGAGAAGGAGGACAGAGGATGAGATGGTTGGATGGCATCACCAATTTGATGGACATGAGTTTGAACAAGCTCCGGGAGATGGTGATGAACAGGGAAGCCTGGGGTGCAGCAGTCCATGGGTTGAAAAGAGTGGGACACGACTGAGTGACTGAACTGAAGAGTATATAGGAGCATCTTTTGTTATTCACAACAAGCTCCTTTTAAAAATACCTGTTGCTAGTGGGGTGACTGTTGTGGGCCCCTAGAGAGCTTAGGATCAGGCTGTGATAAGAAGGTTGGAACTCTCAACCTCTCCCCTCCTACCATCTCCAGAGAGGGGAGAGGGCTGGAGACTGAGTTAACTCACCAGTGGCCAAGGCTTTAATCAATCATGCCAACGTAACACAGCCTCCATAAGATGACCTAGGCAATGGGGACTGGAGAGCTTCTGAGCTGGTGAACATATCCATGTGCTAGCAGGATGGCACACCCCAACTCCACAGGGACACAGGCTCCTGCACTCAGGACCCTTTTAACTTCACCCTCTGTATCTCTTCATTCGGCTGTTCACTTTCACCTTTTGTCCTACACTGCAATGGTAAGTATGCATTTTCCTGAGTTCTGTAAGTTATTGTAGCAAATTATCGAACTTGAATAGCGGTGGGAGTGGGTGGCTGTGAGTACCCTGGAATTTGTAACCAAGTCAGATGGAAGTGCAGGTAAGGAGGGCGTGAGGTGGGTGTTACTTGGACCAGGATCTGAAGTAAGGGCAGTCTTGTGGGACTGAACCCTTAAACCTATGGAATCTGATGCTAACTCTGAGCAGAGAGTGTCACAGTAGGACATGAATTGGTGTCAGAGAATCAGAGCTGGAGAACCAGTGTTGGAAAAACACCATATGTTTGGCACCAGTAAACACCCGAGACTAGTGCTCACATATAAACTGTAAAGCTTTATTTTCTTCTTAACAACATGAGCTCAAATGTAAAATTCTAACTTCTTGAAATCTGTAATGATGTTTTAAAGCAAAACAAAACAAAAACATAATGACTCTGTTCCCATATTTCCTGGGATTTGTTTGCTTATTTGTCTTTCCCCACTGGATTATTTCTGCTAATGTTGTTTGATAAATTTGATTTTCTTTTAAAGTAGCTATATTGCAACATTTGTTTTCTTAGCGCTGAGCAAAAAGATGCAGAGAGGATGTTTTATATGAAGTGTTAGAATGCCATCAAATATTTTTGAAATACTGAGTTTTTAAAAAATATATGCCATATAAAACCTTGGTATTGGGTAGGGAACAAAAGGATATCAGTACTGCAAAATGTATCACATTGCTGAATAACTCAAATGGATTTATTTCTGGCTCTGATGCTCATGGTACTAGTTTAAGGAAAAAAATGTAGGGGAACTAATGCTCTAGGTTTATTGTTTGTGAAATTTCTATAACTCTATTCTACCTGTCTCCATACCCTTACACATAATGGAGAGGAAAAGCTGAACAAACAACCTTGGATGGATCTCATGATGGCCTAAAATGAAAATCAACTATATTCAGAAAAATCAGTGACAACCATTCTACTTCTTGTAAAAAACGTTTAACTTACTTGAAACAACAACAAAAAAAGTTAGGAAACATTTATTTACATGTAAGATATTTCTCTCAATAAAATGATATACACAAGAACAAAAATTTTCCCTTTCCACCCTCAAGAAAAAAGGCTGTATTAAAGTCAATGTATATTAGTAGTAACCACTTTCTGTCATGAAAATATAATGCAAGTTAACAGGTGGAAAGTTTAAAGGTAAACAAGACTCATATATCTTCAAGTGGAAATAAAGATTTCACTGCTAGCAAAGCAAATGGAAGCGCCATTGAAGCATACTAATAAAAGAGAAGAGAAAAGAGTAAATGCTGCAAAAATGTTTTTCTTATTCAGGCAAGTGTTTAGTTTATAAAAAGACAAAGCATGCAATTTCATAATTCACAAATAAACAAGGCTTTGCGATCTCAGTGGCTGAAGTGTTTTTTCTTCCTTTTTAAAAACAGAACCTAAGTTCTCCTGAGTAAAACAGATAGAAATTTCCTTCAAGCAGAATGTTCAGGGTGAGAATTTTTATTTCAAGATATAAAATTAGCAAAGGACTGGACTCTCAACAATTTTAGCACTATTAATACTGGCTAGTATTAAAGACTTTGAGTATGATTAGTTATACTTTTTCATGCCACTCTAAGAAAGCATCCACCATCTCAATACATTCATTTCTTCCTTCAATTTACTCAAGGGAAACAGTAGCACACTTAACTTTAGGACCACAGTTTTATGATTATTTAACTCTAGAACTCTCAATTACTTTAGAGACATTGTGTCCATCTAGTCTATATGTTGGCAGGATGGGGAGGAAATAATCATTGGTCCCTTTCCTGTCTCAGGCTTGAAAGAATTATTGAAGTAAATAAGGCATAAATAAGTCTACTCATGGTCTTAAGCTGGTTGGGCTGCTAAGAAGCCCAAGCTTTCCTAGACTTATACCCGAGGTCTCAGAATGCCTAGTCACTTACCCTTACTGGTGTACAGAGTAGGATAGTTCCATTGACATGGTTTCAGATTTCATACTACACCTAACCTTTGAGTTGAAACTACCACTTCTAGAGTTTGGGGTAGTATTAAAAAAGAATATCCATTAGCCTCCAACTTATAAAAATAAATGGAAAAAAAAAAGTACATCCATGCTTTTATAGAAAGGCTATTAAAATAATCTTCCTTTGTCCATGTACATATCTATACGAGGCTGGTTTCCCTTCATGTGCTTCAACCAAGACAAATCGTAGCAGAATGAAAGCTGAAGCAGATAAGAGAATCAAGCTGCCTTTGATTAAGCCAGATGTTGAAGAGATTTGGAAAAAACAAAATAAAAAGATGATAATGTCACTATTCCTGCTAATTTTTTGTTTGTTTTGTAAAACTCAGCTGTATTTCATAAAATGTTATTTAATTAACATATGACCTGTTTAAATTTCTCTATTTTAATTTCTAATACAGACACATCAATAGATATAAACAAAAACTCTTGAAATCTTAATTTTTGTGTGTGTAAAAGGGTTTTGAAGTTAAATCTTTGAGAACTGTTGGTACAAAGGTACAGAATTGAGTTAAAGCCTGACTTTGCAAGCTGGAATCCTGAGGTGCCAAATAATGTAAGATTGTGGTGTCATTTGGGGGTGGCTTAGTCAAGACTTATTAGATAATGTGAGCAAAGCAATTAGCACCAACTGTAGAACAAAGTAAGTGAATGATAAATGTTATTGTTGCTCTTATCTCACAGGCTCAAAAATTGCCAGCTACCATTATTATTATTAATATTAGTAGTATTATTACAACATCTCCATAGCTAGTTAGTAATATACACAGTGACTTCTTGATTCTTTACAACCTGTATGGGGTTATATTCAGTACTTCTTCAACTCCCTTCAAGAAGTAACCCTAAATTTTCTCATGTGACTATGCAGTCATTTTATGAGTCAATATCCATCTGCCAGAACATTTATGATTGAAAAGTCAAACACATGTAAGGTAGAGAAATGACAGGTTTACTAAGAATGAGTTTTCTTCCTATAAGA